CTGGTATGGTCGTGCGATAAGTGGCCGTGGCAGTGGCCGGTTGTCTGCTTTGGATTGCTTGAGATATGCAAGTGGGCAATAAAATTCGCAAGAGGGAGTGTCATGTACATAAACTTACTAAAGTATGTTTCATTTGGTGGTGTCTGTTTTATATTTGCATGTTTTTATGTTTTTTTTTTTGTATTCAATTCTCCAACAAGTGGTTGCAGCATGGCATTTGCCGAAAGGTCTCTCGATAAAATTTCTAGTAATCTCACGTGATGGATGAGTTTGTTGTGCTGAGTGATTAGGAATTTAGTAACGTGCAACTGCTAAGTTAAAATATAGGGCTATTTGATAAGATGCTCGATAGATTTTGTAGAAATCGAACTTTGATTTTAAGAAAACTTGTCTTTTTCTCGAGTTGCTGTTCTAACATCGACCTTAAAAAAGGATTTGAAGAAAGTAACTCTATTGACGTAATAACTTCATTCATAAAACTTCCATTTTTCACCTCCTTCTCTGATAATGCTTTAGAAACTTAAAACAAATTAATTTAGCGTAATGATGGTCAAATTTGGGCCTAGATTATATTGCCTCGTTGTTTTAATTATCGCATGTGTCATGTTTGTTAGAGATTCGGCCACATGCGGCAGATAATTTATTACTTCTATTTGTTTTCTGGCAAGTTGATTTAATAGTTATATTTTTGTTTATTCAACTGTAAAAAAACAATAATTTTTTTATTTTGCTTCACACTTGTTGTTTAGTATTTTGGAATTTAATATTTGATTTCTTTGCACTCTTTATCACTTAATTCATTAGCTAAACAATTTAAATGATAGTTTAAATTCCATATCCATGTTTTTATAAACATTTTAAAAATATGAAGCCAATAATACTAATAATTGGGATAAGACCTCTTTTAAGTTGTTTCAGATGGCAACTCTCGTTGTCTCAATCCACAAAACCCCAGTCGCTGCAAATTGTGAGCCGATAGTCGATTAGCAACGCCCCAGCTCCGTTCTATACGAGCTCAGACTTCATACATTTATACATCGGTTAGCTATACGATTTTGCTCTTCGCATCACCCGTTCGTTTACCCATTGTACGCTCCAACGCTCAGTTGTACAACGCACATATTGTACAAATTATTCCAACCGTCGCTATACTGAAATATTTTTAGTGTCAGTAGTGGCAGCAGGCAAAATCAACGACACGCCTGTCGCTATATTCGCTCAATTTATCAAAACATACATATATAGTGTGTGTGTGTGTATATAACATTCTGAACGGTCGGTTTATGTCGAAGTAATGTTTAATAGTAATCGAGTTTTATACTGTTACGAGTATCACTGTATTTTTTAAACAATTTTCCGCGATTGTTTTAGTGTTAAATTTTTCTTTCTTTGATCAAATTTAATATTGTAAATAATAATTATTATTTATCTTGTACCGTCAATAGTGTTTCAGTCGTTTTTTTAGTCGTATTTTTTTTTTGCGAATACTCACTTCATAGCTCCCCCTGCCGATGTCACGTCTCGCTTTATATTTTCCGCGCTTATTTCGCATGACTGCTGATGTTTTGTTTCGCACAGTGTCGCAAAAGTGAAAATATCATAAATGAATAAAACAAAAACTTGCTACTAAAATAAATAAATGCATAACAAATATTTACGTGCATACTTAAGCAGACTCGCTAACTTTCCGAAGTGCAGACAAAATCGTGTTTATAAACCACTAAATTTTAGGGCCCTAATATTTGTTCAGATGCAGAAGCATCTATAAAAGAATCGTTTCAAAAAAAATATTTAAAATTGTTATTATTTTTTTTAAATTAATATTTCTTTTTTCCGCGGAAACGATTTGTTACCAAAAATATGAGTTCTAAAATAATATTTCTGTAAAATCGTTAGACTTATCATACGTTTTCACATTCAAACATCCAATATTATTGTGGTTTGCTCGTCGAATGATTCTACAAAAATTTCTCATGCATATGATACAAGTATTTTTGTATTGTTGACTTGTTTGTTCGCTTAGGCATTCATTTGGTCGGTAATTTGACAGCTGATTATTTTGTCGGATTATAGCCGCTGTTATTTGATAATAACTGCATTTTTCGACAGTTTTTGTTGATGTTGCTCAATTTTATTGCTCCCTGAGAAAGTGTGTTTTTGTCTTTTTTTAAGATTTTTTTTTTGCTCTCTGACCGCCAAATCACCGAACTTGCTTAAAAATTCAAAAATAATAATCGAAGCACAAGAAAATCTAATAATATTGGTTGTTAAAGCGACAATAAACACGCGCTGACAGCAACAGGCGTGTTGCGTTGCAACGTTTTGCCAATTGCCAATTAGGAATTGTCGCCGACTCCAGTTAACGTTGATGCGGATGTTGTTTTACTGAAAATTAAATGTTATATTATGGCTGTGCTTTAGCGTGCGTGTTCGATTATTTAAGCCGCTTGCCCAACAATCTCTTCAACGACGGTGAGCCTACAACGGCAACAAACAATTCAAGTCAAATTCAGCCCAGTTAGCAAGTCAACAGTCTGAATTCTTTTTACTTACACTGTAAAATTGTTGCAAGCATGTGTTTGTGTTTCTTTTTCAATATAGTCGTTACTCATTCGATACTCGCATTTCATTCGGTAGTAAGTGGACCACATAGCCAGCCAGCCGGCACAGCTTAATTCTCTGTACACATGCAGTTTTTGTCGTTTCTAGCAAAATCACTTATTTATTATTTATTTTGAATATCTTTACCTTTTTTATTAGCTTTCATTAATTAGTCAGCAGCTTTAAAATAAAGTTTTTCGTATGTAGATATATTTGTATCTTTTTAAAACACTTTGTAAATTTTTAATTTTTCTCAAATGCAATATACATTTCCGAAACCTATATTTTACTATAAAAAAATATAATATAATTTTTTCTCTCTTTAATATGACACTGATTAGAATAGATTTTTTGTTTTTTTCTCCTTCGCCTTGCAATAAATCAATAAGATATACTCTCAGTTTCATTGTTCTTTGACAAGTAACTTCATCACCAACGCCACAATCGGTGCTTGCCATGCATCATTTTGTTTACTGCAGGTCCTCGTTATTTATGTTATGAATGTTTGCTTCTTATTATATTTGACTCGAAACTGTCAATTTGTCACCCCATTTGTATGAGCATTGAATACAAACTATTTGTGGATTTTTTAATAATTTTTTTAACAATTTAGTAGCTACTAGTAAGGATTTTTTTTGTTCTATTGAATGAAAACTCGCGCATTTGTGGCATTTACGCACGTATGTGTTCCTAAATCAATAAGAAAATATTAAAAGGCTCTAAGTGCATGCGATGTTCTTTTTGTGAGTTACTTGGCTCTTGCATGCATTTTTTTTTAACAAACACATATTTGTTAAGCTATTCAAACAATGCTCACTGATTTTTCATATCTTTTTATTGTCGATATATTTACTGCAACGTCATCAGCGTCTCATTCCATTTATTCATGTTGTTGCTCTGCATTTCTTGTCATGATTTATGACGAAAGCAACAACCACCATAGTAAGTGACAAATCAACCAGAACTGTCGAAGTCAAAGTCACATTATAATGGAAAAACCAAACCAAGCAATCAAACAGTTTGATTGACTGGACGCACCTCATCACGTACCACAAACACATTGAGAGTGCATAAACGACATAATTTTACACTAACACTGATGCTTACTTTTGCGAACATCTATGTTTTTCTAGTCTTTGTAATTAATTGCCTTGTAATTATTGAGTTCGACTTGTTTTCAAATACTTTGATGATGTTAATTTTTTTTAGTTTGCTTACACATTACTTTGAGTTCGAATTTGTGTTAGTTGATACTCACGAATATATGGTGCTTACTTAGCGTACATAAACACTCGTGAATTTAATTATAATGCAAACATGTCAAGATAAAAGTACAGCTAGTGCCGGCCGGCATTTTTGCACCGCATTTTATCTGAATAAATGAATTTGTTTTTGTGTGTGTGTGTGTGTTTTTTTTTTTTTTTATCTTTTCCAAACGCAAATTATATCTGATTGATTTTGATTATTTATTGCTCTCTGATTGAACTTGAAGAGAAGCTACCAATTGTTGATTTTACGAAATCACTTTTTATTGCTTTTAGGGTGTTTGCATGTCGTTATAATTAGTGAAGACAGCAGGTTGAAAAAATACAAAAGAAAACCAAATGATTTTTGTGTGTGACTTAAAAGTGATGTGTGTATGTATATACATGCGGAAACAAATTTTTTTATTTACACTTTGCGTAAATGGTTTTGTTTGTGACTGCCGGCTTTTATTGACTTGCGAGCGTGATACAACCGTTCTTGCTAATATACTTCCATAATCATTTCATACATATATATGAATTTATTAACTAACTCGTTTCCGGCTTCTTTGTGCAATAGTTTTGGCAATTATTATTATATTGTTTTTAATTGAAACATGTGCTTATCATTGTCCATATGTACGTATGTATGTCAGAAACTCTGTTACTGATTAAGAAAAACCTCATTGATATTTTGTCAGTATTTAATTTTAGCGCTGCACCCACTTGTTTCTGTAATTTTCACTTTGTAGTAAAATGGTTTCTCTGAAAAATATTTTTTTTTAATCTAAAATTTTATATGAAATGACAGCAATGAAAAAAGCATTTCGGGTAAAAAATCAATTTGAGAAAAAACTCTATTATTCTGAATAAGAATTGTTGACAAAAACAAAACTTAATAAACAAATATAGAAAAAGAATAAACCTACGAAACAACACAATACACATATATAAGAACAATAAAATTAAAAAAATAAAATAAAAAACAAAATAAAACGCGGGAGAAACATGAATAAAATTCTGCCTTGGGAACATTTCGAAAGTTTGTACAAAGTATAGTATCCGTTTCATATTGGAAATCTTTATTACTCACTTTTAAAACCAACATAAACCACTTCACCAATAATATTTTTATTAATACTTATTCTTTCACAGGAATTGATCGGCCAGAATAGCAACGATAGTTCGAGTGGCGGCGGTCACAGCGGCATGGGTTCGGGGCCCCCGGGCACACCAAATTCACAGCAAGTAATGCGTCCCACACCTTCACCAACAGGCTCATCAGGTTCGCGTTCCATGTCACCAGCAGTGGGTAAGTGTAAAACGAAATTCATAGAACAATCTTGCTGCATATGTACATGTATGATAAACTCTCCTAATTTAAACTTGTCTCTTATATTTGTGTAGCACAAAATCATCCAATTTCACGACCTTCTAGTAATCAATCGAGTAGTGGTCCTATGCAACAGCCTGGCGCTTCTGGACCTCCACCACCCCCGCCCCATATCCAAGCGACGCAAGGTGGCGGTGGTCCACAGCAACAACAACAACAGCAGCAGCAAATGCCTGCACAATCGCAATCTCAGCAACAACCTATCGGTGGTCCTGGTGGTGTGCACAACTCACCAGCTGGCGTTGGTGGCTCACAACAACAAGTTGGTGGTCTACCGCCAGGTGGTCCTGGCGCCCCTACAGGTCCACAACAACAACAACTTCCACCGAATCAAAGCTTAAATAGTATGTCAACACCACCTCCACAAGGGGCGGGTGGTGGTGTGGGCGGTTATCCACCACAGCCACATATGCATGGTGTCTATAAAATGGGTGGACCAGGGCAGAGTCCGGGTCCAGGACCGCAAGGTTTGCCGACTGGCTACCCGCCTCCACAACAGTCGCAGCAATATTCTCAAGGTAAGCAATAAAAACGTTTTGGAATATATATTTTTGATTATACATATATATATATAAATAAACAGAAACTTATTAATGTTGTTTACCATCACTCTTATCACTTTAACGATAGGATCTTACCCGCCTCGCCCGCAATACACACCCAGCGGTTACGCGCCCTCTCAACCGCCTACAAATCAACCAACCTCCGCCAATAGTATGCCCCCGGGTGGCGGTCCTCAATATCCCGGTCGACCAATGCCAAATCATACTGGTTCCGGTGGTCCACATGCGCAGTATCCACCCTATCAAAATTGGGTTCCACCATCACCACAAGGTGGACCCGGAGGTGGCGGCGCACCAGGCGGTGCCAGTGCTGCGGGTATGGGCAATCATGTACAAGGCAAAGGAACACCTCCACCCGGCGGCCCACCACAGCCACCTGGAGGTGGCTCACCGCGCCCACTCAACTATTTGAAACAGCATTTACAACATAAGGGCGGCTATGGCAGCGGTCCAGCGCCGCAGCAGGGCTATGGTAATGGGCCAGGCATGCATCCGGGTATGCCAATGGGACCACCCCATCACATGGGACCACCACACGGACCTACAAACATGGGTCCACCAACTAGTACCCCGCCACAATCGATGGGTGGAGTTGGTCCTATCGGTAGTATGGTGGCTGTGAGTGGTAATGTTGGTAGCGGTGTTGTGTTGTCCGGTGACGGCGAACACATTTCACAAGATAACGGCATTAGTTCGTCGGGTTCATCCACAGCATCGGGACCACATCCGGTCACTTCAGTGGTGACAACTGGGCCAGATGGCACACCTATAGACGAAGTTAGCCAACAAAGTACGCTATCAAATGCATCAGCAGGTGAGCAAAGTCACAGGAGAAAATGCATGAATTCAATTGATTCAAAATAACTATTTACATATAATTTTAAATTATAATGAAATTTATTGCAATTTACAGCTTCTGGTGAAGATCCACAATGCACAACACCAAAATCTCGTAAAAACGATCCATATAGCCAAAGCCATTTAGCGCCACCAAGCACATCGCCGGTTGGTCATCCCGGACATCCAGTTGGACCCAGTGAAGAATATGAAATGAATTCACCACCAAATTGGACGCGACCAGCAGTAAGTCCTGTAAGTTGCTGCCATATTTAAGAATTAAACAATTTCTAACGGTTCTTATTACATATTTACAGCAAGTTTTTAATAGCCATGGACCGCCACAAGAGACTTTTCGTACATCGTCTACGAAAAAATCCGATAGCCTGTGCAAACTATACGAAATGGATGATAATCCGGAAAGACGAAGTTGGCTTGATAAGCTTCGAGCGTTCATGGAAGAGCGGCGCACACCTATCACCGCCTGTCCAACAATATCGAAACAACCGCTCGATTTATATAGGTTATATATTTATGTAAAAGAACGTGGAGGATTCGTCGAGGTATGCAAGGTGCCGTAGTAATTCCTTTTACTAACTTCTTTTTAGATTCACTACCATTACTACCTTCTAGTAGTACTACCACATAGCAAAACTACCCACCACCACCACCACCACTACTTATACCACTATCACTATTTTGTACAACTACCCACAAACTTAGCATCTGTTTAATACTCAAAAATTATACTAAAAAACGAAAGTTATGCATTGTAACGAATAGCAACATCACCAACACTAAGCTCTTTGCAAGTAATTAGCATATCATCATCATCATCTCCTCGCAATCATTGACATCAACATCACCAGTCCTTCCACTGCATTAGTCGAGTGTGTTGTGATTGTTTTTTAAAAAAAATATTCCTCCCTTTGAACAGGCATATTAGAACAAAAAAAAAGTCAGACCACACGGTCCAGCATTTAGAATATTTCATATAACTTCAAATATAAAGAATAATGAACAGATGTCTGGGCTTAAGGTGTATAAAGTATCTTTATCTTTTTTATTAAATATATGTTCCTATGCTTTTGGATATGCATGATTTTAAGCTTAAATTACAAAACAAAAAAAATCTTTCCAATTTTGGTCTTTACTTAACTGCCTTGAAAGTGCATGCCTACTTTCTAGTTTTCCTTTCTTTTTTTTATTGATGTTGGTAAATATTTTGCATTACTTTTGATACGTACTTCTGTTTTTTATTGAGAATTTCAAAATGTGTCTTCATTCATTTTGTGTTAAAACAATCGGTTTATATAAAACAGTAAGATTATATAAAACTTTATGTTTCTGCTTTTCATATTCCTTTATAATATTGTAGTATTTTTCTTAGAATCTCATTGCTTTGCAATATATTGTCATTACACTAAAAAGATGTCTCTTATGTATCTCCCAAATCTCATTAAACTTACATAATTATATATCATCCACCAATCCCTTTTCCTTCCTACTTAGTGTTGTAAATTACTGATTACTCTTGATTGATTTCCTTTCCCACGGTATGTAAGTAGCAGTGATATTATTTTATGTGTTCCACTAAAATTTCTAAATCTCCATGTAGTTTTTTCATATATTTTATATAATTTCTACTCTTATGAGTTTTCCAATGTACCTTTTTTCGAACTATCTTACTAAAAACATATATTTTAAGTTATAATTATTACGGAAAATATAGTTTTAAGAAAAGAAGCAGCTGTTTGTGTCAATGATCTCTATCATTGCTTGCTTGCAATTCTTTTTTTAAACCAATTTTTAATTATTTACATTTGTTATACAAAATATATATTTCATATTGGTTATGTTTTCAATTATACTAACTATATATTTCTCCTTCGTTCTATAAACAAAAACTTCAACTTGTTATGTTACATTTCGTCAAATACTAAAATAAACCAACACAAAAGGTTACGAAAAGCAAAACATGGAAAGATATTGCCGGTTTATTGGGCATAGGTGCCAGCAGTAGTGCTGCTTACACCCTACGCAAACACTATACAAAGAATTTGTTGACCTTCGAGTGTCACTTCGATCGGGGCGACATAGACCCGTTGCCCATCATTCAGCAAGTGGAAGCCGGCACAAAAAAGAAATCAACCAAAGCCGCTTCTGTACCATCGCCAGGTAAGAGAGTGCAAATTTTAGATTGTAAACTGAAGAGTAGAGTAAAATTTAATAAAATTGTTTAAGCTTTTAGTATGAACAATAATATATTAGGCATATTGTACACGCAAATATGTGCATTCCTTATGAATTTCACTCTAACGATCATTATCTATAGTTTCGCTTTAGAAATATATTTTCAAATTCATTATTATTACCGTTGTGCATTGTTTTAATTGTAAATTTATCAATATTTTTATTCTAAAAAAAAAACCCACAACTGAAAAAATTGGCGGTGCAATTGCGCTGGAAAATACAAATACATCAACAATGTCAGCAGGCTCCTCAAATTCTCAAGATTCATTCCCTGCACCAGGCGCAGCCGCCAATGCATCGATTGATGGTTATCCAGGTTATCCGAGTGGTTATCCCGGCACAGCTGGGCCACAGCCAGACTATGGTGCGGGTGGTGGTCAAATGCAACGACCACCCTCACAAAGCAACGCACAAACCCCACATGCAGGTAAATACAAACAATCACATTTTCCGTTATTTTTTAAGACTACCGTAATCAGTACTGTGCGAATATGTAGTACATTTTTGCACCACAGTTTTTTTTATACAAATATCAGTTATAACTACTACGTCTTAACCAATAACCGAAAATTAAAAAGAAAAAAAATTGTAACTAACTTTTCATTTACCAACAACAATTACAATCAACACGGGTCAAACTTAAATCGATTTTAATTAGCTATTTAAGAGAACAAGCACAAGCTATCCTAAAGTTCATTTTAAGCGTTTATAATTTGTTTCTTTTATATATTTTTCGTTGCAAAACTAAAAACAAAAGTTGACCGATTTTTCTTTTAATTTTTTTATTCTTATTTTGCAAATCTCTAAAAACTTTCCTACTCATCACCAATCATCAAAATCATCATCACATCACCAAACCCACCATCACCATCAACATCATCTTTTTTTCTTTGAATACCATCCACATTCGCAACAACGAAAAAACAATAACCAAACCAAAATCATTAAATCATCACAACAATTCATCTCCATCACGCATCCATAGGCAATACTCAAACAGCAGCAGTTGGTGATAATATTAGTGTGAGCAATCCCTTTGACGATCCGGTTGTGGGTGGTGGTGGTAGTGGCAATAGTAGCGTCAGCAATGCACCACCGCCGCCCCGTGCCTCCCCTTATCAACAGGGCGCTGGCAATGCTTACACGCCGGTGTCTAGAGCGCCAGGTATTCATTTTTTCGATTATTTTTTATTTTCTTGTGTAGTTTTCTAAAATTAGTTGCTTTTCGTTTTGCATTGTCCTTCTGTTTGAAAACAATTTTAACTATAGAACACATTTCGTATAATTTCGATATACACTCTACGAATTGCTTTTATAATTTTGTGTACTTTTGATATAACAATTTTTTGTGTTTTTCCTTCAACTTCATATCATTATTGGCCTCTTCAAAAAATATAATTTTATTTTCTTCTCCTTATTGCATATCTCTGTTCTAAGATTAACTACTCATTATAATTGATACATGCATACCTATTGGCTTTTAGACATTTTTGCAGATACGATATACACGTATAACATATATGTGTTTAGATTACTACTAGCACAAAACATTCAGATTATTTTATTTTAAGAATAAACGCAAACAAAACCAAAAAATATATATATAAGTTTTCAAAATTGAATTGAAAAAAACAGATTGCAATATTGCGTGTCCCAAAAAAAAAAAAACAGAAAAAGCATTAACTTCGTGGACACAGAAGCTATAATAGGCCTTGATTTTGATCGATCAGTTTGCATGGCAGCTATATGCTATAGTGGTCCTATATCGACGGTTCCGACAAATAAGCAAATGGATTAGTTCGCGTATATACAGACAAACAGACGGACGTTGCTAAATCGTCGCAGATTATTTATTTATTTGCTTTATAAGGTCTCCAACGTCTCTTTCTGGGTGTTACAAACTTCGTGGCAAACTTAATATATCCTGTTCTGAATATAAATAATAAATATATATATATATATATATATAAATATCGTTATTGTATCTAATCGACATTTCCTATTTTTTATTTAAAATCAAAATTAATCCTCGTGAACATTCCTAAATAACATACAATATAAAAATCGGACTAATAATTTAATAATTGGATAGTTAAACTGGAGTAGACGAAACATATGCATTTATGTGTGTTCTTTAGACGGATTATTGTCATTCTATGTTTTCGTATATTCTTTAATTGCACTTATATTTTCTCTTAGCCATGTATTATTATATAATATATATATTTTAAACTTTGTACCACGTCCAAATATCTCCAATGTATACCTCTTATTTTCTTTTATTAATAATAATTTCCGTATGTTCCCTCTTATTCGCAGGTTCCCCATATCCGGGTCAACCAGGTGCTTACGGTCAATATGGTTCAAGTGATCAATACAATGCCACTGGTCCACCCGGGCAGTTTGGCCAAAGCCAAGGAGCACAGTTTCCGCCACAAAACCGAAACATGTACCCTCCTTATGGACCAGAGGGGGAAGCGTGAGTGCTATTTTCTCTACTTCTCCATACATTGATACCTAGTAGCCCATATCTTGTTAACTACATAACAGATCAGTTATTACAAAAGTATTGTTTTCTAACACATTATCCAGCATACCAACTGGCTAATTAATTATTGGAATTTAACTGATTGTTCCATATTATATGTATTAATTTGATTTTCCCCTTTCTCCCATTTAGTCCTCCACCTGGTGCAAATCAATATGGCCCATATGGTAATCGTTCATATGGTCAACCGCCACCGGGTAGCTCTCAAACACCTACACCGCCTGGATCGGCAGTAGTTGGAACTGCTGGCTCACCCACTGGTGGTCCGCAAGCGCCAGGCGGCGGTTATCCGCCAGTTGCTCCAACTCAACAGGATTATTATAGGCCGCCCGATCAGGTTGGTTACAAAGTTTTTTTTTTTAATAATCAAAACATTTCTTACTGCTTTTACATTTACTTTATTTTCACATTAGACGCCGCAACCACGTCGACATCCGGATTTTGTGAAAGATTCACAACCATATCCAGGTTATAACACCAGACCGCAATTATACGGTAAATATTCCATTCTACTGAACTGTCAATTTCTCTTATGATAAATCATAACTGTTTATATTTAAAAATAAAATAAATAGGAGGTTGGAGCGGTTCACCGCAATATCGTGGACAATATCCTGCACCCTCGCCGCAAGGTTGGGGCAGTGCACCGCCACGCACAGCCGCACCGCCTGGCGGTGGTCCACTTGGACCTCCAAATCAACAGTCATCAGCCGCCGTGCAATGGGAACATAATCGTTATGGCCCCCAACAGCCTCCACCTCCGCCACAACAGCAGCCGCCATACCAACAACAAGGTCAGCAGCAACAGCCACCGCCGCCACCACAGTGGGCACAAATGGCAGGCGCCGCACAGCCACCACCGCAAGCGAGCGCACCTGGAACAGCGTTACGGCCTTCTAGCGGTGGTCCACAGCAGCCACCACAACAACGCCCCGGTATGCCACCACCACCCGCCCAGCAACTGCCTGTTGGCCCGACGTCCAGTCAAAACATGACAAAGCCACCTTTTGTGATGCCACCGCCACCTCAAGTTGGAGGCACAGGTTCTCCTACTTGTGGTCCACCACCATCCATAGCTCCACCTAGCACGGTTAATGCGATGCCGTCAGTTATGGGCGCGCCTATTGTTGGTGTGCCTAAGCCACAGGTGTCCGCCGTAAACTCCGTACCACAAGTCGGCGCTTCCGGCCTCCCACAATTACCAGCACAACAGCAGCCCCTACAAGCTCAGCCACAACAACAATTTCCAACTCCTGCCGGCACCCAGATCATTAAAAAGGAAATAATTTTTCCGCCGGATAGCGTTGAAGCCACCACACCGGTGCTGTATAGACGCAAACGTTTGACTAAAACCGATGTTTGTCCGGTGGATCCATGGCGCATATTTATGGCAATGCGGTCCGGTCTATTAACTGAGTGCACTTGGGCGTTAGATGTATTAAATGTGTTGCTCTTCGATGACACAACGGTACAGTACTTTGGGCTGGCGCACTTGCCTGGCCTGTTAACTTTACTTTTGGAACACTTCCAAAAGAATCTCGCAGAGATGTTCAACGATTGCGACACGGACGCTGATCATCATCGGGGCGGAAGTCGAAGTGCACGTATAGTACAAATCTACAACCGCAAACAAAAACAACAACAACATAGAATCAACGAAGCCGTCGAGTGTAACCACGATTACGACAAATATAAGTCGTTTCAAATGCCAATGATCGATGATGACGACGAAGATGAGGGCATTGATTTAGGCCAGATACGTGTGCTACCAAATCCTGAAGAGAGAATAATGCTTCTTTCGCACACACCCAACTACACAATGATGTCGCGTAAGGGCTTGCCAGTACGTCTGCAACCGGCGGAAGATGATATTTTCGTATCGAACAGACAGAAAGACTGGGACTCGGAGGAAGAGCCCATTTATGAGCAGACAAATGTGACCGAACCTACAGGTTGGAGTTGGACCTATGGTTTTGCGGATCGCAATGCCCAAGATGGCATTATCGACGTGTTCAAGTCGGAAATTATAAACATTCCATTCGCACGTTTCATACGTGGCAGCAACGACATGAGCTGTAGCAGCAGTACAGGTGCGACCAAGTCGTCAGTGAAAACTAATGCAGAAGATGCGAAAAATGCTGGAACCAGCGAAACAAACAGTAAAACTGTGAAAAGCGAGCAAATGGAAGACGAAAGCTGTCCGGAGGATAGTAAAGTGGAGCATGCGTTTAACAAAAAGCGACGATTATTCAACAACAGCAACAGTAATAACAGCAGCAAACACGGATCCATCGTGGGAATAGGTGGCTGCGAGGCTAGCGGTGCGAAGAGATCTAAATTGAATGACGATGAAATTGCATTTGCGCAACCTGGGCTCATCAAAAAAGAGCCGTCCGATATTGCGCTCGCAGAGAATTCATCAACCGCAACTGATAGCGACTGTCGCGAGGTCGATATGGAAATTGAGCTACTGCCCCAGCAACGTCTAGGTAATTGCGACGGTGCTAATGTTCCGAAGAACTTTGACCCGATATCGACAGTGCGAGATGCTGCACAGGTGCTGCAACGACGCCGTGCATCCACAGTAGAAGAAGAGTGCTATACACGTGACGAAGCCAGTCTTTACCTGGTAAGCGAGTGTCAAGATGCGCTGGCGCGTCGCTGTATCTGCCTGTCAAACATCTTTCGCAACCTGACATTTGTGCCCGGCAACGAAACACTCCTAGCTAAATCACGCCGATTCCTCGCTATCCTTGGTCGCTTGCTGCTGCTCAACCATGAACACTTACAGCGAACGCCAAAAACGCGTAACTATGATCGCGAGGAAGACACTGATTTTTCAGACTCATGCAGTTCACTACAAGGAGAACGCGAATGGTGGTGGGACTATCTAGTCCACATACGTGAAAATATGCTCGTCGCCTTGGCGAATATAGCCGGCCATTTAGAATTGTCACGCTACGATGAGCTCATTGCACGGCCACTGATCGACGGTCTCCTTCATTGGGCTGTGTGTCCCAGTGCACATGGTCAAGATCCATTTCCATCTTGTGGTCCTAATTCTGCGCTTTCACCACAACGGCTAGCGCTCGAAGCACTCTGTAAACTTTGCGTTACAGATGCCAATGTCGATCTCGTAATAGCGACACCACCGCATTCAAGGCTGGAAAAGTTATGCGCCGTTTTGACACGTCACCTGTGTCGCAATGAGGATCAAGTATTGCGCGAGTTTTCCGTTAATCTGCTGCATTATTTAGCCGCCGCGGATAGTGCTATGGCACGAACAGTGGCGTTGCAATCTCCTTGTATCTCATATCTTGTGGCGTTCATCGAACAAGCAGAGCAAACAGCTTTAGGCGTGGCCAATCAGCACGGAATCAACTATCTGCGCGAAAATCCCGACTCGATGGGCACTAGTTTGGACATGCTACGACGTGCTGCCGGCACTTTACTACATCTGGCCAAACATCCGGACAACCGATCGCTATTCATGCACCAAGAACAACGTCTGCTTGGTTTGGTGATGTCAAATATACTCGACCAACAGGTTGCATTGATTATATCCCGTGTATTATTTCAAGTTTCACGTGGCACTGGTGTAGGGGGACCGTCGACGATGCCGTCACTGGAATATCGCTTCCAACCACGGCACACCGAGGAGAAAATCACCACAGGCGAAAAGCACCACGTTGCCGGTAGTATTGGTGGCAATGATTTAAAAGTGGAAAATAAAGTGGAAACAGTGTCGACTGCAGCTCCAGTAACAACAAATCCGCCACAAACTGTGGCAACTGTAGAAACAGCGACACACACCACCACTCAAGCAGTAATAAGCGATATTAAAAGTGAGGAAGTACCAGCAACTGCCAACGACACGAACGATGGCAGCACCATCAACGCAAATGGTAACAACAGCGCCAGTAGTGCGAGCAACCACAACGTCAGCGACAATAGCAGCGATCCAGCATTCATTCATAAGTTGCCAACAACAGCATCAATGCCTACAGTGCTGAGCAAGTCGCAAAACGCCTGCGCCACTGTCGATGATAACAGTAACAGTAGTAACGCTCTGGTGCCCGCAGCGGCTTTGTTGAATGATGTCAGCAATAGCAGCACCAACAGCAACAGCTGCGGCACGGTAAGCAGTAATAGCAATAGTAATAGTATAAGCAGCGGCAACAACAACACCAGCAGCAATATGCACATAAAAAATGCGATTGAGAACGCCAACGTGAATACACTAGGAGCGATGGCTCCTGTGCTGACCAACAGTGAAGCGAGTCATTTGCAGCCAAATCTGCTGAGCAGTAACGGCAATGGTAAGAATGTGATCAGCGCAACTATACCCACTATTAATGCCGCATCCAATACCAATACAAATACCAGCAACAACAATGGTAATGGAACGGACAGTCGAACCAATGCGCAGCCATCTGCAGCGTTAACGAGTGCATCGACGCAATCGCCACCTCCGCCACCACCACCAACTGCAAACGCAGCAGCAGTCGCAGCACCATCCGCACCCACAGCTCCACCAGCAACTACAACAACAGCAGTTGCGTAGTACATGACGATGTTGCCGACGTTAGCAGCTGTGCCAGCAATGTCAATGCTACAGCAGCAGCAGCAACAAGAACACGTACATATACTTGAACAACAGCATTTGGGTATGGAGCATCATCATTTACACCACCAGCATCCACATCACTATGCCCAGCTCGATGAGCACTATCAACAGCAAACGGCTGCGCCATCACCAACACAAACACCTACGCAGCCACATTACCATCTGCCGCCATACCACTATCATTGGAGCAAGCAGCAATCACAGCTGCAGCCACCAACAGCACATCCTCAACCTCATCAGCCGGAAGATGCACACTAGATGTCTCTGTAAGCGTGAATCGTAAATTATTACAACAGAGGAACGTAGCATTCATAGCGTAGTAGAAACTAATGATATAACGGTTATAACGTGTATGTTATGTTATAGTTCAATGCAAAATGCGGAGATGATTTAGTTGTCGTAGCGACATTTGAATGAAAAAAAAAAACAACAAGCATTTGTCAACCGCGCGTCGCTGCATCTCTCTCCGCCTACAGTTGTATATGTCTAGAGGAAATAGCAAATAAATTAAATATATATATATATATGATAATGGTGATCAACCCTGTAGATATAGTAACATGAGTAGTATTTAGTTTGTGTAAAGAAAAGTATGTCTCACTTTTTGTATTTTTATTATTATTAATATTTTTTTTGTAATATTTTAAGATACTTCTAATTTCATACCTATGCTGGGATATAGAGTTAATAGAAAGAAATATCAAACAACATTTGACAAAAACATAAAAAAATATGCATTACTAGCACATGACATAAAGCGACTTAAAGCTAACTCTACGCTAGCGCGCTAAGAGGAAACGGAAACTGGATTCAAAAGAAGTAGAGGTTATAACACGATGTATACAGAACCGTTGAAATCGAATAAAATGTTAAAGGCTTTCTCATTGGAACCTATCCAAAGACCAAGTATAGCGGTCCTGCAACTCAAAAGCGGCGCGCAAACGTTTTAAAATATTTGCAGAATTTTTAATATACACATACTTTTGCCCACAATTATTTAATGTTCGAATTATCAATTAATAGCAGCATTAATTTCGCTTAGGGAGCCACACACATGTAAATAGTTAAAAATTATTGTTCTGACTCAAATCTAGCATTGAAAATCTGCAATAATTGCATACTTTCGAAAGGTTTCGTTTTTTTTTTGTTTTTGTTTTTGTTAATATTAATCGTTTTTCGTTTTTGAAGTGGTAAAACTGCAATTTGTAATTTGAATCACACCATGCGATTGTGCGAAAAATGCCTTATTTTGCAATTTCGTGTAATTCACCAAGCAGAAAGCTAAAAATCTGCACTAGCTAGAAAAGGAAACTATTATTTAACATAATATTTGCATTATTTATTAAGAAAATCCAAAGGACTGCACAGCTTCTAGCTTTTGGTAATCTTCGTATGTTATCCAAAATGACAAATTTAACATTGTTCTTACGTTTATATCTACTTTTTGTTAATTTTTTTAGTTTAAGTAAATTTTTTTTTCTTGTTTGTTAATTTTTTTTGTGTTTTTAAATTTTTTTTTATCAAACAATTTTTTTTTTATTTTTTTTTAATTTTTTTTAGTTTTTTTATATTTTTTTTTATTAATTTTGTCACATCCTGTTTTTGTGTTAAAAAGTTGTACTGTATACTATAAAGCAAATAAATTAATTTAAAATTGTCCACTTGGCGTACAAGCTTTTATCTTAAACCTGTAAATATGGTTTCTAAAAAACGGTTCTCATCTTAATTTCGCTTACACACGTCGCCATAACCACACCATATAAACAAGCGCACATGCCCTAGCGAAATATCATAGTATATGTATATTACTGGAAGCAAATTAAAGATTATACAAAATGCATTTCCTCGATACTGACAACCAATGCAAATTAAAAATTAATTTCTTTCATATTTATTGATGGTATTTTAAATATATGATTCGTGTATAAATAGTATGCATATAAATATACGCATATGCAAGTATGTAGGTATACATTAACGAGCAAATAAAACTCAACGCAAAATGTGCATGTAAAATACTAAAAAAAAGAATAAATCTGCAACAAAAACAATGAAAAAAAATGCAAATGTAAAACTGTGCTTAATATGCAACATAAATGATAGGAAAAATATTAAGTTAATTTCTATAGCTATGTCTAGCTTTTAACTTATTAAATTATATACTATTGTAAAACTAATGAAAATAAAGGATGTAATGCAACGCATAATGAGAGTAAATGATGAAAATAACACAAACAAACACTGCAATTTCAGCATTAAAAAAAGAATTATCTATATATATATACATATAAAATGCTTAAAACATTAACCATAAAAAATTAATGTTAGATATGTATACAAGTATATATAATTGTATATGTAGTAATGTATGTAGCTGTAAATCAATATTGCTTACAACTGATATAAATAAAACTAATATTAAATATTAATTGGAGCTACTACAAAAACAAAAACTGAGATGAAATCGGAAACGGAAACGTGATAGACGGTGTACAGTTTGTGGTCTAGTGCAATCAACTTGCAAAATAAAAAAATAAATAGATATATATGTATGTATATGTGAAAACGGTAGATTGACAATTGCGGACGTGCGTTATTTGATTTTATCGACACAAACTTACCAGAACTTTCATTATTAGGCTTAGTACAAGCACAATTCGTTGCAGATTTGCATGTTGAATGCAACGTGACTGTTATTTGGGGGCTTTAGCTGTTTCATTGATTCAATTGCGTATTGTTGCTACAAACTCAGCAACGACATACGTTCAGGCAGGATTTAAATAAATAAAATGGCTAGCATTAACTTTGAATTTAAGTGGGTAGATTGTTGTTGTAAATGATAACTGGCGGTGGCTTAGTTTATAATATTTAAGATACATGTGTACATACCATACATACAAACCAACATAGGGAGTAAAAATCCAAGCAAAACAGCTGTTTGATTGAGTAAATGAACAAGAAAAATATGGTCGTATTATATGTAAGCGTGTAAGAAGCACAAGCAGCTAATCAACTTAAATCTATAAGTTACCGAAGTACGCGCTAAAGAAAAATAAACAAAAACAAAAAACAAATATGATAATATTATATAAAAACTGCAAATGAGAAAATAAATTAAGTATGATATCAAGTAACTTATTAGTATTAATAATAAAATACAATAAAAGCATGAATGTGTTAGCATTAGTGAAAGGACAGCTGACTGTAGACAGGTGTTGTTGTGTCAGTAGTTCATTGTGTTAGTAATACCTATGTGGATATATACAGACAAACAAACAAACAAACAATTAAAAAACATGTAATTCATGTAAAAAAAAAGAACTACAACAACAAAGAAAACAAAATATACTAATTAAAACTAAATTTACTAGAACTAGAATTTGCTTACGAATGACGCAGGAGCTGACGTATTTGTTGTTTAATGCACAAATGCGTGTTATATATATATAGTGTATACAAACTTACATAAATACAAAATAATAATAACTTCAACTTAATATAAAATTATAATTTAAAATAAAAGCTGTAAATGTAATGATTTATTGTCAATTTTTTTTTAATAATTTATATTTTAAGTTATAATTTGTAAATGTTTAGTAGTAACATATTAACTTACATACATATACTACATGTATTCAATTGTAATACACAATACAATTAAATGATTAAATACAAAATACAAAAAAAAATCACGAGTATTTACATATATATGAAACGTACTTTTGATTAGTTATTGAGAAAATGGCGTGTAAAATGTAACACAATAAACTGCACACTTACATATGTGTGAAAAATAATTTTCTTACACTCATGCTCTACATATATACATACACAAACAGGCACCAAATAAAACAACTCCCGCTATGATTCATATGTACGTGCACCAATATAAAGTTAAAACTCGAATACATTAAAATATGTACATAAATCCATATAAGTGTGTGTGTTGTAAATACTTTTGATTGTACATAAGGGTTTATGAAGCGAGCAGCAGCCGCTGGGCGTCAGTCGCTTATGGCAAAAACAACGAATGAAAGCTGAACCGTTTGCAGTACGAAGAGCTACCAACTTCAAGTCTACACTCGTGATTGGAACCAATTCATATTAGTATGGTTCATTAATAATTTGGAAGTAATTTCTAATTAGATTTACTTATGTTTTCTGCGTTGCTTCATTGGAGGACAATAATAACGGTTTCTGTTCCCACGTTTTAACATATGCAACAGATTGTCAGTGTCAAAGCGACGCTTTATATTCGGAAATATTGTTTAAAATATTAAAAACAGAAAGTTTTTATAAACGGGGTTGCAGTGAGTGGTTGAGGATGTCACTGAAAGATTTGCAATAATGTTGAAATATGTTGTTGTAGCGGCAGAATTCTGCCGAGTTGACAGTCCTTGGTCGGATAAAAATTCGGTTCGACTGCTGTGGGAACGGAGTGTTGTAATATGTATACGAATCTCAATATGATGTACTATATTTTTCAAAAACAATTTTTTTTTACTAGAAAATATATGTTACTACTATATGGCTAGTGTGGTTAGGAAGACGAATGAAATAGTCGTCATAATTGCGTATTATATTTTTTTCATCCTGATCATTTCTGTATGGACGTTTGGTACTCTGAATGGTAAGCTAAATTTTATTATATTTTAATTATTGACAGTTGAAACTAAGTGCAAAAATACAAATTACGAATCTTTTTTGTTTTTTATTATTTTAAAAATTACATATATTTTTAGTTTTATTAATATTTTTTGATTAACTTAAAATGGAGTATTTATTTTACGCTTTTTATTTATATTTATAATATACATTATTTTTTACATTGCATTTTGGTTTTATATCTATGTATTACATATATATATTGTATAAATTATATTTTTTATTTTTAATTTTTTTAAGTTAATTTCTTTGGACTTGAAGCTCGGTTTGAAGCTAAACGCGGCATGTAATATCAAAATATAGCAAATATGCGCAAAATGACCGACTCGCGGAAACACTAATTAAAAGTAGGAGCGTGGATGTGGTAATCGATTAAAATTTTATGCATTGGATGGTATAAGTCGTTTTTCTAATAATTAAAGTAAACAGCTGTAAAAATGTAAAGTATTAAAATACACTTAACATATAGTAATTACAAAATAAATCGAGTGTTAAAATATTTGTATGTGCATTTTAAGAATATGTAATATATTAAATGTATAAAAAAAATAAACATATATGCAAACACAGATGTACACAATATATTTTTTATTAAGACACATATTTAATTTAATTTAAAATTGAGGCAACTAGAACGAAGTGTATAGATATTTATAACTTCTTTGAATTGTTAATTGATGATGATCCATAAACATTAAAATGAGCGTAATAATATGCTTATGTTGCTGCATATAAATTGATCAAAGAATATTATTGCATTTATATATTCGTATATGTACATGAATACATGCAAAAATATATGTACTTACAAATTACCTAAATAAATATAGGCATTTGCTGTGGATGTGCCTCCTGACAAGCCACAACCAAAAGTATACAAAACAAATGTTAAAAGTTTAATTGCGCATACGACGAGACAACAATATTTATAGCACTATAACAAAAAAATAAAATTATTCATACACATACACATATGAGTAAGAACCAATAATTACTTTTAGTTATTTCAATATAATTAAATCCTGTATTTTGCATAAATAGAATATTGTTAGTTTGTAAATCTATATTAAAAAAAAATTTCAAATTTTAAATTAGATTATATAAAATAAGAAATATGAATGGGTAAATAAAATTAATTAGAAAGACATATTGAACACTTGCTTGGGGAAGTACCTCCAATGAGCTTGATGAGTAAAGCAGTGCACTGGTCGTTACCGATAAATATATTCAAGTAGTATGTAATGTAATGCAGATATAAAATAAAATAAATTACACAAAGATTAAGGTGGAAAGATATATGACTAAGTCAGATTGTGACGATTGTATTTAGATGTAGTGGTTAGTGTTTTTAGTATTGTAAATGAATGTCACGGGAAAAAACGCATAACAAAATAAAATTTAACGAAAATCATATTGATACATAATAATATTAAATTAAATAATTCACAAATCTTAATATATTCAAAATTCAAAATATGTAAACAAATCATACTTAAATATGCGTTAACTGCTGAAAAGTGAAACGCAAAAAAAAATAATAATAATGCAAATATTGTTAATAAAATTTGAGGATTCAAAAACGAAAATTAACAAAATTTCGAATGGTCTTAAAACTAAAAACAAAAAAAAAACTATTAAGTATACTAATAATTAACGGGAGTAAACTAAACGATTATTAAAAGATGCTGGCATACTAATAAGTGCAGGATATATATACATACTTAATGAAATTAATGAAAAATAAAATGGAAAACACTTAATAAACTTAATTATAAAATTACAAGAAAAAAATAATATTACAAAATTAAAGTGTTATCATTTATTAAACACTAGAAAGGGGTATAACTAAATATATGTAAAAATGTAAACTATATTTAAGATATATGTATATACACCTTTCTTAGATACTTGGCCGAGCTTCTACTTCTATTTGTGATATACGTCTACATATCTTTCGGGAAATTAAGGGTCATAAATTATATAATATTTCGCTTGCTTCCTACAGTTTACGAAATATTTACGAGGTTTCCTTGGGATATCCTTGGCGGGTACAAACTTCAATTTGAGCTCTTCAAAAGTGTCGCTAATTTTAGCCACACTACCCGTCAATAAATCCAAGGAGCCCTGGTCCACACATTTAATGAGCCAGTAGCTCCTAAGGGTTTCTGAAGAGTCAAATTTCGGTTGGGAACCCGCCGGATTATTGAGTACATAGCCTAAAACTAGTATCGACAATCTGACATAGTACGCCACCCATCTCTCCTGTATGGTGTTCGGTGAGGTGGAGTTGACGTCTATGATAGCCACCTGTCTGTCTCTGGCCACATCGCTGAAGTGCCTTGCTGCTGCTACACTGTGCTGCTCTGTTCACTTTTGCTTGGGTTTTTTGGGTAGAGTTCCCATCACTTCATTTTGCGAGTGATTTCTCTTCTGGAATAACTTTCCTTTTCAGGAAGTTTTCATACTACTCCACTATCTGTTTTTGGCGCTTTAGTTCCTGTTTTCAATTGAGGTGCGGGCAGACTGACTTTTGACAATCTTACCCAGTATGAAGACTGCCCTTTGATTTAGGGATTTATTTCTTGTCTTACGTTGACCCTCTCCTCTAGCAGCCAGGCAACTTTGGTTGGTACTCATGGCTGTTTCAAAGATGAAGGGTTCCATATTAATGCTATGTGTTCTCCGGCGTACTATGGTTGATACATCCGGGAACACTCTTAATCGTCTCCTGACTAGAGGCGAGGAGAGTGTCTTCGTCGAACTCTCTTAGGCGTCCTGGAGTCTTATGTCGTTATCTTGGCCGTTGTCCCTATCAGAGAGTTGGTCGTAATTGTATAGGTGTTTGTTAGTTTTCTGTATCCATTTTTGTCCTACGAGTAGGCCGGAAGGGATTAGTCACTCGTTAGTAGTGCCGGTATGCGTAGAGAAGGCGTTTAATATCTCTTGGCCCAGGCATCGAAGGGATCTGTTCGATAACAGCTATTCTATTACAGCCCGCTGACCATTTAGCCATCAGCACGTTCGTAACCATTTAGGTTACACCCATTACTTTTACATCAATAAATAAAATATAATATTTCAATTCCGTTTCGGCTAAAAACTCTCAAACAATAAATTATTATAAATCCAAACATTTTATTTTTTATTTATTGTAGATTATACTTAAAATATTAGAAATCTGGGTAGATATATTAGTAATAAAATATATTTTAAAGTGGTTAGTGTTTAAAGAACCTTCTGTGTACCTATTATAATGAAATATTTTATGTAATGTTAGAATCATAACGTACTATAGTCGATCCAAAAACTTTCCATTCTCGTGAGAGTCGAGCACATGTTATATTACAAATAATTATACTCGTACATTCAACTATGTGACTTCGTCAACATCATCTTCTCCAATTTTTATACAATTCTTTTGAACCAAAAAATACTTGAAATTAATTGGAACAAACAAGAAAATTTCGTTTTTGCGCAGACAGTTCGTTAAATAGGATAAAATAATTGTTCTTATACTTAACATTTATAAGTCATTACATAATATTTCGAATTATTCTGTGATTTGTGGCTAGTACTTATTTATTTTTCTTGCCTCCACTTCGTCGAATAGGTATTTGGTCCGTTGCAATTGATCCTTTGTTGTGATATTTATTCGAAATGCGATTTACAAAATATAAAGCGCATATGCAGAAAAAAACGCTGCAATTTGAATATTTAAGATGTATATTCATTAATCAACTTGAATGAATACTCACCAAGTCGTTGCACAAACACGATGGACCACCCCGGAAGCCACAGTCGCCAAAGTTAGGCAAGTGACAATTTCTGGTATAAATTTTGCTTGAAAATCATTACCAAATACAAGCATTTCCATATTCGACACAGCGGTTAGGGCAAATACAAACAGCCACGAACCAATGAAGCCCCCAACAATAGTATTCATTTGAGTAGCTGTGATCCAGCTGGAGTAAAAGCGCATAGTTGCGAATATTACCAGACTCAGTATACAGGATATCACGGTCGAAACTAGATTACTACTCCCACTCTTTGTTTCCGTACCTAATGTAATAAGTATATGAAAATAAACTAACATCAGCATTACTTTAGGGTTTAAAGGACTTACTCATTTTTTTAAAATTAAATTACTAGTTTTAATAATTGTTGAGTGTAGAATAGAAATCGCCTACGTTGAAATTTATCAAAAGCCGACACAAATTCCACTAAAAAATCAACACAGGGATGTATTCCGGCAGAAGCAGAGTGTGGACCGCATTACATATGACCCTGTTCTCAGTATAACTAAAGGTTGATTCCTTTAACAAATAAATATTTCAATTCTATGAAAATGGACAAATTTTTAAATTTCATTTCGAATCAGAAAGATTCGAAACGGAATATATCCTTATATAAATCTATATTCATATATTGCGATTTGGTAAATAAATGAAACTTTAATGATACAGCTGAGTTGTTGATTTAATGACATACATTTTTTGATAGTCAAAGTGGCATCATTCTATTATTACAGTTAAACAGATGTTTGATGCACAGAAAGCTCCACATGCATACTTGTTATAAGCTCAAATTCAGTGGAAATATCTTTTCCATTCATTGTGCTTTGCTGCATATTCGCTGAAAATCCGAAATCCATAGATGTGAAGAAAATTTGTGTATTTCATATTCAAAATTAAGATTATAGAGTGTGATAGAAACTAATAAATACAAAAATAAGCACTAGTTCCTCTTTTAGTGAAATACCAATGAAGTAATAAAAATTTAACGAATTGTGTTCAAATAGTCAAAAATTCTAGAGAAATTTTATCAAGATATTTGCCACTTTCTGCTTCTTTCTGTACCCATTTTCCTCATATCGTGTATACCCCTCTCTTTGTGCAAATAATAAGAAGAAAAAGTTCTCCGTTGGAAAAGTCTTCCAGTGCGAATTATAAAATTTGCGCTGGAATTTGTATTTGTATGAAAAGACAGCAGAAGTGAGCTAAATAAGAGATGTTGAGAAAATAAGAGTAAAATGAGATAGTAATATATTTTCATGGTTCCAACATTTGAAATTTATTTAAGTTTGAAAATAACTCACATAAAAATTGTTGAGCCAATGTGGTTAATAAAACGTATAAACTAACAATAATATTTAATGTGAGTCTAGGAATATATTAAAAAACCATTATTAGTGGGAGATAGATGTAACGTTGATTATGTGTATATACTAGGGAAGTGAAAATTTTAAAATTAAAATACAGTTAAAATGTCAAGTTATTTAAACGACTATTAAAACGATGTTTTTTTTCCAAATCTGAAAGCTATCAATATGATAGTAAATATTGAGCAAGGGAATGTGTAAGTAAATCACTACGCGCGTAAATAGGAAGGGGAATTGGAAGTAAAATTCCTTCCGTTCATTTTTCACTATGCTACCTATGGCTTTCTAATATACCAACAATAGAAGCAGCAAAGAAGAAGAACGTCAAAACTTTTAGAAGGCAGCTAATAAACCAGACAGAGAACTTGCTACATGAATATCTAATTCTCCGTCAATCAAGTTATCATGAGCAAAAATAAGGCCAACAAACAAGACAGGCACCAAAGCATATGATAAAATGTAGAAACTGAAAAATACTAAGTATAGCAAATCTGGCTACAGAAAAACGAAAGAACACATGTACATATCTATCAACAGTAGCCATTAAAATCTGCATCTTTAGCGAATTGGCCCCAGACACAAGAATGGAATTTTATTTAAAACATTGAAAACATAAGCAAAAAAACACAGACTTAACTTCTGATTTATGCACAAAGAGAGGAATATGTTAAATCAAAAGCCACAGCTCACGAAATAAAATAAAAATGTACATTGTTATTTTTTTTTAGCAAACATCAACAGTAATTGTGTATCAAACCACCATGATTTAATTAATTCATAACTACATAACATAAAAATAGCAGAAACGTTGTCGGACATATGTACATACATGACAAAAAATAATAGCTACGCATAATATAATAGAAGTGTTGTGAAAGGCGAACTTGAATTGACATTAAATGGGTGAAGTGCGCAACATTCGCACAAACGAACGCAAGCAACAACAACAGCATCACCAGCTGCAGAGGCATAAACATAAATGTGTAATTAGTTGAATTATACACACACGCACACAAAAGAAAAAAGAAAAGTAATTTTTGAAAATTTTATGCTTTTGGAAGTGAAAAAAATTCCTATTTAAAGTGAATAAACAAAGTACATCTTAAAACAAAAGTAAATTGTATGGGTAAAGGTCCAATTTATTTCAGAGAAATACTATCACCTAACAAATTCTGCAGTCCGAAATAAATTGTTGATCGCGTGTTCAAAGGCGCACGCGCCCACTACTTAACACATTAACAGCTAAATATTATTGTGAGTGTGCGTGTGTGTGTTTTTATAGAAAGCTGTGCGAGCACACATCGGATTTCCGTCTCAGGACCGCTGCTGCGCTTTTGGCGAAATATGCGTTACATTTAAAAAATTTGCAACCAAATTATTTTGGAGGACAGTAAACGCGTCATCCAATTAAAGTGAATATAATCCAATTTCCGTTTCGACGCCGACACCGTCCCCTCTGTCACTCCTAAGCCTTCTGCAGTCCTTTTATCCTTACTGAAGCATTTGAGTAAACATTACACACGCGATGTTTACTGGAAAATTACAACTAAAAGTGTGTGAAGCGGTCGGTTTGCGACCAACCGACTTTCAAAAGCGACACAATTTAGCATTTGGAAAATTAGCAGATGAGCAGACGATCGATCCTTATATTTCCATTGATGTTGATGATAATCATTTTGGTAAGTGCAAATTGTGCAAATATTTTTATTTAGATTAATATTAATGCTGTGATTTTATGCATTTGTATATATGTATATATATATATATATTGTATCAGGTTTGTTCAAAAACTATCGCGAATTTTGTATTTCTTAAGAAAGTCTTTCATGAATATCTATTTTGTCCCCTTCACCCCTAGATACAATGCACTTACGCTATTAGGTAAGTAGATGTCGGTGACGATGCGATATAGCCCGAGAAAATTCAAAAATCGCGGTACTTTTTGAACAAACCTAGTATTTGGCCAAAAGCAACACATTAATGGTGACGCAGCCACATTATTCCTCAGACCTGGCCCCCTGTAACTTTTTTTTGTTCCCAAAACTGAAGGGGCCCATGAAAGGCCGACGCTACGCTACGATTGAGGAGATAAAAACTGAAAAAATGACTTTTTAAGCGCTTTGAGGATTGGAAAAAACCCTGGCATAAGTGCATTATATGTAGGGGTTTTTACTTTAAAGGAAACAAAATATATATTAACGAATAAATAAACACTTCCTTAAGAAATACAAAATACAAATGATACTTTTTGCACAAACCTCGTATAATTTTAATTGTATATTTTTTATTTAAGTGGTAATCTTAATTATTTGTTTATCTGGACTTGTTGTGTTCCAAATAAAATTATTTTCTTTCGTTGTGATTATTTCATTTTTATTTAATTTACTTGCAATATTTTTCAAAGTACTGCAACAGTTTAAAATTTTGCATTTTATTTAGATCGCTCGACAACGCGACCGAAAACATTTGATCCGGTATGGAATGAGCAATTCATACACGATGTGTCTAATGCAAAGAACATTAACTTGACGGTATTCCACGATGCAGCACTTCCACCTGATGACTTTGTTGCCAATTGCCAAATACCTTTCGAAGATATTATGCAAAATGAAACAGGTGTGCTTGATCTATGGGTAAGAAATATTATGGTACAACTATTTTCTATTATATAATTGTATTTACATTACAGGTGAACTTAGAGCCGCAGGGTAAACTACATATTATAATTGAATTGAAGAACCGAGTTGGTATGTATTTTGACAATTTATTCAATTAATTAATACTAGTTTAATAGATTTAATAATAGATTCGAATAAAGATGTGGCTGAAGTGGTTCAGGCGGTGACCCAAAACAAGGAGTTCAAAGAACGCGCTGGCTTTAATCGTCGACGCGGTGCCATGAGGCGACGTGTTCATCAGGTTAGAAGCTTACCAGCTTACTAAATATTATATTATTAATAATATTTTTTGTAGTTGTTGTAAAGAAAGATTCACTAAATGCTAAATTGAAAATTTAATTGCCAGCTAGAATAAATTAAATTATTTATATATAATATATATTTTTTTTATTAGGTAAATGGACACAAGTTTATGGCAACTTTTCTTCGACAGCCGACCTTTTGTTCACATTGCCGAGAATTTATTTGGTAAGTGCATACGCTTAGCTTGATAAAAAAAAAATGAAAATATCACACAATCATCCTGCTACAGCTCTCATACCTTTTTATTTGTATATTCATACCAGTGAATAACTGTATTGATATTACTTTTCACATTTTGGTTCTTGAAGTATCATTGCTATTTTAATTTGTTCACTTTACCTTTAGTATTTTTTAATTATCCTCTCTTTACAACTATTCAGTATATTAGAATGTATTTTGGGTAAAATTAGGTAATACTTTTAATTATATTTATATTTTAGTTGGTAATCTTATATTAAATGTTTTATGTTTTATTTGTTTGGTGAGAACATATATACATGCATTTGGGCGTAGTTTGGAGCAGACAAAAAAATTTCAAATAAGAATGAAATAAGTGCTTATAATGATTTTCGCTTTTAGTGACATATAATAGTTCATTCTCTGCTTTTTCATTTCCTCATCCGGTTGCAGGGTGATAATTTGTATATTTATTTTTAATTATGGGAAATGTAACCATCTTAATTGGGATATTTTTTTTACTTTCTTTCCGATTTGATACTGAGGGTTTTGCGTTTACTCATTTTATCTATTTGATCAGTTTTTTTTTTTTAATTTTGTACATCAACTCTTAATATTAATCTATATTCACATATATACAAGCTACGGAAATTTTTTGCCTTTGCAGGGGAATTGGTAAACAAGGCTATCAATGTCAAGGTATGTGTTCACATGCAGCAACAACAACAACTACATACCCGGTATTCGTACTCGTACTCGTAATTGCATTTGTACTCGTTTTCCAAACTTTAAACAAAGATATAAACCGAAAAGAATCATTCGTTGAGTCTCGAAACAATTTTCACATACAGCTTACACCTCTCATCGCCGCACACAAATATGCTCGCACATACGTACATACATATGTACAAGCAATAAATATATAAATTCAATTCACTTATAAACAAGTAATTGAATAAAAAAAATATATATAAATAAAAGTTATCTTTGCATATTTGGTTAATGTCAACTAAACTAAGTATGTACGTATGTACGTATATGTTACATAAAAGCATAACAACCAGCTATTACACAAACATCTCATGCCCACATACCTATATAAATACTAAATAGCTTTCTTTACATGCATAATATTTTAGGCCACTCTAATTAAATTGAATGTTGATGGTGTTGATTTTCATTGTTCGCTGCTCAAGCTAGCTATATAAAAATCTGTTGTTCTCTTATTTGTATTTCCATACATACACACATAAATTGTTAATTTCACCTCTTATTGCTTTTGCATTTTTGCAACTCGAACTATGTCCCTGTTGATACCTTTTTTTTTGATCTATCTGCTGTATGACCTGCACTGTTATTTAGACATATTGTTGTTGTTGCTATAGTCGGTGTAGTTTTGCATTCAATAAATTTAATCATTAACCAAACGTACCAATCAACTAAGCAATGAAACGATAAACCACCATTATAATAAATCTCAATGGCTTCATCACCCTCTGTATTTATACATATGTATATACGAGTATATGCATTTATTTATTGTACATGTATTTTAGTTGCACTTTCATTGATGTTTCTTATGTATTTTTCTATTGTTATGTAAATGCATATTGCTTTGTTTTATAAAATTAATTTATTGTACTATCATAATAAAAGTGCCTATTTGTCCTGTCTTGTTCTTATAATCACATTTATTTTTAATATATACCTAGTACAGTCGATGCTCACAAATTAGAACCTTAGTAATTAAAATTTCCACAAATAAATTTCAAAAAATCGAGCGTTTGCAATACGATAACGTTCTGAAATTTTAATCGAAAATTTGAATTTCTGAATCGATTATGTTGGTTTGTTGTTATTGAGGTAATAAAGTGGTTATTAAAAAGTTGATTGACGAAAATGGTGCAATCGTAGTGAATTATTTTTTACTAATCACATAAAAAAACCTAAAATACAAACAAATATTGCTGACTATATGTAAGTAAAGATTCGTTGTGAAGTTGGTGGTTGAGCCTATTTTATGAATTTATGTCTTAGCTTTAAAAAATTATCTTTATATATTTCTCTAAGTACATATCAATTTTTTTTTTACTTTTAACAGGAAAAATATGTTTATTAATGAAAAAACTTCAGCAATTCGTTTTTTTTAGAAATTAGAATCGCCTTAAAAACAAAGTGGTTCTAATTTGTGAGCTCCACTGTATACATGACATAATATCCTATAGAAAGATTTGTGCTTGTTTATTGGTAGCTCATTAATGAAAACTCCTCAAATCATATCATGTACAGTTAAATTTATTATTGCAAATTTTATACAATTAAATTATTGTGTTGTTATGGGAAAATCTATACATTAGTTTAAAAAATAATCATGCGCTTACAGGTATGCAACACTTACATAACTTCTAACGTTCAGAATATTGAAATAATCAATATATATCATGGGTGATCAAAAAATTTAAAACCGGAGGCACACGGCAACAGCATCAATAAAAATTACAACAATATAGTTCTCAGACTGACAAAAAATACATCGTCTCAAAACTATATTTCTACTGAAGTAACAACAAATAAATGTTTGCCATAGCTATGCGAGGCATTGTCAGCCAGCAGTGAATATATATTCTCACCCCTCGCACCCTCGCGCAACTTCGTTCTGGATATTGTAGCAGGTTAAACTCCTACTTATCCAGAATAGACCCCGACATACCAAATATATGTCCAACGAACCCCACTCGGCATTTCCCTATGGTCCGTGTCCTGAGCCTCCCGTTAGATGACCTCGACGACAACCAAACTATACCTTATCAACAACGTAGTTGTCAGCCAAATGAGTTATGGCGTGAACACCCCTGATATATATTACGGCAAATCTGCTTTTGCGCTATATTTTCTTCATTTTAAAGCCGATATTAAAGCTACATCAACCGTTATGCAGTTAATACGGTAGTTTGTTTTTCAAAGTCGGTATTGAACAACATTGAAGAAAAGTTTTCGAAAGCCGCATACATTTTGTATCTGTTGCAATTGAGTTGAAAAGCATTAAATTCATTAATTTTAATAAATCACTCTTTCTTTGTATCAAACATTTTTAGCACTGTCAACAGTAGTACCATGTGGTGTTTTTAAAATACTTTTTTTTACGCTTAAATACAATATGTATAGAAATTATACAAGCGAACTTTTTATATATTGTTTTGTAAAGTACAGTGTTTATGTATGGTATTTTATACTTTTTATTGAATTTGAAATGCTTGTTTTTTTTTACTAACAAAGCAACATATGCATATGTATGTTCATTTATATTTTATTTAATTGTTGTTATGTTTTATGGGTATAACTGTTTGTATACCATATATAACGATTGCAAATATGTTTTCAAGTCAAAAATCGAAAAACTGCTTAGCACACAAAAAAAAATTTACTATTACAATAAAATATTTTTTTCTGCTACAGGAGCATACATAGTGTCCAACTTGGCTTATAGTGAGCTGTAAATTGGAAAACAAAATATTAAGGGGTATTCTGGTTTAGAAGCACGAACTTTAGGCTCTTTTTCAGACTAAATAAAAAAAAATATTTTTACTATAAATTTTTTATTGACATTTAAAGAGTACAAATTATTTATAATATTAAAAAAAAAAATTTCAAAAAATTCTAGACTGGCAAAGTGGTTACTGATGAAAAAATGGCGTGTCCTGGTGTGCAGGATATCAGGACTCCCATTAACTTGAAATGGAAATTGCTGAGTGATCCTTAAAGAGGAAAGATGTAGTTATAGCACTACGAGAGGATTTTGGAACAAAAAAATTCCACAAAATGGCGGCTGTTTGAAAAATATGTTTCGTTATTTCCTTTTTTTTGCCGTTCGGAATTTTTTTTACAAATATAAAAAAAAGAATTTCAAAAATCCTCTCGTAGTGCGATAGTATAATGTATAAAGAAGCTCTGTATAAAATTTCAAGTAAATCGATTGAGTAGAGCTTGAGATATCATGCACACCGTTTCTAAAAAAGTAGTTCAGAGAAAAACGAATTTAAAGCTCGCTCCGAGCTACCAGTCAATTTTGTCGGCGCATCACAAAATGAGCGGTAACTCCAAAAAAAATTGAAATTCCAAAAAATCTTTTTAGGGACATATTCTTAAAGGGATATACTACAAAAAATGCAAAACAAAAAAAAAAACGATTTTTTTTTTATTTTTAAACCAGAATACCACCTTAATAAAACTAAGCTCAAAAAATAACTATATTTTAATAATATTGTTAATTAAATTTTTGAACATTTAAAAATACTGCCGACAATAATACTTATATTTCATAATACACTACAAGTGTGGGCGTTCCAAATTTATATTTACCTGAAGAAGCTTTGGAAAATGACTCACGAAAATAGAAATTAACAGCCTATATTCAACTGATTAATTACAAATATATATAGTATATCGATGTACATAATATATGTAACAAAATTTGCCCGTTAACACTCTTACCAACTCCTCATAAATGTACAATATCGTTTTGTCTTCACATCTTCTTCAATTTAATCCATAATTTTATCATTATTATTACTGTTATTACTATATATATTCTTATTGATTCACCATTCTAGTGTGCACCTGTGTTGTACATAAGAGATGCCATAGCTCCGTGGTCACTAAATGTCCAGGCATGCGCGAAGAGGTATTATCAAAATCCCATACAAATTTCGAATACACACTAATCTTATCAATATCTTATTTTCTTGATGTCTCCTGCAGCAAAACACCTTGGAAATGGCACCAGCTGGTCAACGTTTCAATGTGAATGTGCCGCACCGCTTTTTAATGCATAATTATAAACGTTTTACTTTTTGCGATCACTGCGGCTCACTCTTGTATGGTCTGATTAAGCAGGGTCTACAGTGTACACAATGTAATATGAATGTACATAAGCGCTGCCAAAAGAATGTGGCCAATACTTGTGGCATAAATACAAAAGAAATGGCCGAAATACTCAGTTCGTTGGGTATTTCGCCGGATAAGCAAGGGCAGCCACGCCGTTCGAAGGTGGGTCGATGCATTATAACCCAAACTGCATAAATGATATTAATGAATAATATTTTTTTTTTTTTGCAGTATTTAAATCAACCGGGTGGTGATGATAACTATAGCTTGAGCGACCGTAGCGATCAGGGTACGGAAAGCAGCACTTCCACACGCAGTTCGATGATGTCGGAACGTTCGGTTACAAGCACTTCGACTGCCATGACCGGATTCAGTGCCATTACAGGGCAATATTTTGATTCTCGTCCAGGAAAGACTTCATTGTCGGACTTTAATTTCATTAAGGTATTAGGAAAAGGCTCGTTCGGCAAAGTAATGCTGGCCGAAAAGAAGGATACGGAAGAGATTTATGCGATTAAGGTGTTGAAAAAAGATGCCATTATACAAGACGACGATGTTGATTGCACAATGACGGAAAAACGTATACTAGCTTTGGCCGCCAATCACCCATTTTTGACAGCATTACACTCCTGTTTTCAGACTAAGGTGCGTATGTGGAAATCGAATCAAGAGTGTTTTTTTTAAAGAAGTATTTGCTAACTACAAACTAATATTCACAATGAATGATGGGATTAGATTCGATGGCATGATTTTTCTGTTTGCCTCCACAGTCAGAAGTAAACGTTGAATATATACTCAAAACAAAAATCGTTTTCATATAAAGAAAGCGTTTCTAAACACATGTATATTTTAATGTAAGAAAGCAAAAATAGCAAATTTAATCAATATATTATGTAGACTCCATGTTGTTGTTGTTGTTGTTGTAGCGGCAGAATTCTGCTGACTCCATCGCTTTGGACTGTATTAGAAGTAATCTTATCACAAATAAATGATGAGAAATTTTCTATTATACTTTAGCGTTAGTGTATTCTAAATATAGATATATATGTATATTCCATATAAATATATTTCAAGATCACATTTTTACACTAACATCAAGGATTTTCTATATATTTTTACTACAATATAAATTCAGAAGCATTTTTCTACCGCTGTCTTTTAGAAGTTTAATTGTAATGACATGTGTATTGCATTTATATATTTATATACAATCGATATTTTATTGTTTTCAGGATCGTCTATTCTTCGTTATGGAGTATGTGAATGGTGGTGATTTGATGTTTCAAATACAGAAGGCACGACGCTTCGAGGCCGCACGTGCTGCTTTCTATGCCGCCGAAGTTACGTTGGCTCTCCAATTTTTACACTCTCATGGTGTTATTTATCGTGATTTAAAACTAGATAATATTCTCTTAGATCAGGAGGGGCACTGCAAATTGGCCGATTTCGGCATGTGCAAGGTAATACGGAACCGATTTTACTAACGTTCAATATTCATTTCAATTATATAATAAATGTATCAAAAAACTAATTTTACATAACCTTCCACATCTAGGAGGGTATTATAAATGGTGTTTTAACAACCACATTTTGTGGCACTCCCGACTATATCGCGCCTGAGATACTAAAAGAGCAAGAGTATGGGGCATCCGTCGATTGGTGGGCGCTCGGGGTGCTCATGTACGAAATGATGGCCGGTCAACCGCCGTTCGAGGCCGACAACGAGGATGAATTATTTGATTCAATTATGCATGACGATGTATTGTACCCGGTTTGGTTATCTAGAGAAGCCGTATCCATTTTAAAAGGTAGTTTTTTTTTAGTAGGATAGCTGGATATTGATTTTTTTTTAATAATAATTTCTCGTTTACTAAGGATTCCTAACGAAAAACCCCGAAACCCGTCTCGGGTGCTCTGGTGATGAGAACGAGATACGCAGACATCCCTTCTTCGGTAAATTAGATTGGGATGAACTGGAAAAGCGCAATATTAAACCACCTTTTAGACCAAAAATGGTATACAGCAATTAAAAGAAGTTCCTAACACTTTTTATAATTCGAATTTCTTGTTTATATTTCATATATTAGAAAAATCCTCGGGATGCCACCAATTTCGACACAGAGTTCACGAAAGAGGAACCAGTACTCACACCCGTACCCAACGATGTTATTCGCTGCATTAATCAGGATGAATTTGCTGGATTTTCATTTGTCAATCCGAAATTTGGACCTGAACGTAAAGTATTTTAAGTTGGTTTTTTAATGTGCGCGCATGCGCCTGAAGAGTTTAAACTTCTATGGGAAAAAGCTAAGAAACAGTGCAAAACTTGCAAATCCAAGAAAGCGGCAAAAACTACTACTACTACTATTGTGTTTGTTCTCTTTTTATGTGTACGTATACAAACGAACATGCACACATGTATACAGAATGACACACACAGTCACACAGGGTCGCCAGTTGGAAGAAATTTATTTATTTTTTCTTTATTTATTTATTATTAATTTTCATGCGTTGACATTTATTTAAGTATCGAAAGTTTCGTATTGCGATGACATTGTTTGCAAGAGCAAAGTATATATGTGTGGATACCTGTGTGCTATATTGTTTTACGCTGTTAATCAATGTGCAGCTACGATTTTAAAATTTAAATTCGCGAAAAGTGAAGTAAAAAAGAAGAACAAAATATGCTTATATTGTTAACACAACAAACTTTACTCGTGGTATTCGTTAGCAAATAAATAAATCTAATGACCAATAACCGTAGAACACTTGGTTGAAAATAACAAAAACAATAAAATAACGTGCAGTGGTAGAAAATATAAAAAATAATAAGCAGGAAATACCTGATAACAAGCAAAAAAGAAATTAATAACAATTTGCTAACTTGTTTTAGACATTATATAATATAAAACATGCTACTAACATTGTATTATTTTAAAGTTACTGGCCATCTAAGGATTGCGACTAAAAATACTACCTTTTTAAGCATAAAGTCCCAGGCTAAGCATTAGCAACAAGTAGAAGCCCTTTTCATTTAGCCAACTGCAAGCATTTGAGTTTCTACCAAAACTTTTGCATAATTTTTCGATTTTTCATGCGATTTGGCTAAGGGGTTCATACTAGCATTACTATTAATGTGTAGAGCCAGAGAAAACTTGTGTATTATTTAATTAGTGGTTGAATTGAAGGAAGCGAAAAAGAAATCAGCGTCGCCATATTTTCCAATCAAGTTACTAATGTCAAATATTGTTCTTTCACTAAAATTAATCGGCCTTATTTTGTGTAACTCGTTATACTCGTGCAACATTTTGCACAAATTATTATAATTGTTATCTGCGTTTTATTACATTAATTACATTGCAAGCGAATGAAGGAGCCTAATTTCTTCAGTATTCGTAGACAATATTTGAAAACTCGGAATACTACAACCATTTTTTACATTAACGAAAGCGTTTTAATTCCATTAAAATTTATTTATGAAACGCTTTAAATTTAATTTAAATGAAATGATCAACGGTGGTTGAAATAAAATTAAAATCGCCAAGCATATATTTTTACAGTAAAATATAAAAAATTGTAATTAGCCAAGAGTTTTTAATTCAATATCGTTTCGACACATACATACATACATATAAGTATACATGTATGCTGACGTTTTGAATATTCGTAACAAGTAATGAGCATTAGTTGCTTGCCTTGCATTATTATATTGCTTATGTTATGTTTATGTGTTGATGGACATTCAACGAAATTATAAAAAATTTAATTAATGAAAATTTTTGTTTTACTTATTATTGTTAATTGATGTTGTTTTCAATTCTCTAAAACAACGAATGTTAAAAATCATTCGTCAATCTAGTCAAATTGTGTTTAAAAACGCACGCACACACATATAAACACACAAATCCATGTATAAATGAGTAGATAATAATTATTACGTAAATGCATTTGAAATACCTACATATTGTTGAACAATTTTTTTTATAATTTTAGTTATTAATGTGCAAAGTTGAATTTAATTTAGTATTTTATTATTATTTGTTTTTAATTATATTATAAGTACTTGCATTATTTTAAAAACCATACGAACAAATACAACTGTTTTTATTAGTATTCCCAATTTATTACAACAACTACAACTATACATATATATATATATTTTAATTAATTTGTAATTTAAAATAAAAACACGCCTTGAAATGTTCTACACGAGTAGTATTTACAACTGAAAACAAAACGAACACATTTTTTTTTAAATAAACATTTACTGCTCCTTCTTATCTTAACATTGTGCTAAAGCAACTTTTCGACTACACTTAAAAATGATTATTGAATGAATATCTCGAAATGAGTGTGGAAATTCAACAAAATTGTGAAAAGCAGCGAAATATTTGCTGCTCTAAAAATTTACACATAAATAAATTGAGAGTGTTACAAACAGTCGAATTTATATATTTTTTATGCTTTTACTTCGTGCCATGGTGAATTACTCGCTATCAATCAGTTTTGAAGTCTGCAAGAACTAAATTTTTTCGACTTGTAAATTAAAATATATTTGATAAATGCAGTTTTGGTAAAAATTGTGTGAATAAATATTTTTTAGAAAAATTTCAAAGGCGGTTGATACCTGGTCATTATTTAAAAACCTTATTTCATCCGCAGCACTTTTTCATTTTTACTTTTTAATTAAAAGTAATTGCTTTACTGCAAAGTAGTTGGCAGCGCTATGTATTTTTACAATTATATGTATTTTAATGTAAATACGCACAAATATAAATCAGTTGAATTAAAAAGAAAGTATTAAAATGATATTATCAATTGTTATCCTTTGGTGTATTTATAAAATACACGTTAACAGTTTTTTTGCTAATTTATTTTGTATATTCTAAGTACGACAAGAAACTAATCAGAAACTTTCAATTTTCCCGCTTACAGGTTTTGTAGAAGCTTTTGTTGTTAAATGTAATCAAAATTATTTTAAATTTTGGTATGTATTGTAATAATTACATTTGTAAATTGTCCTTTAATTGGGGACAGCGAAACGAAGTGGTATCAAGTATAGCAAATTGTAATGCCAATAATAACAATGTTATAAATAGTTTATATAAAGTTTGTCAACTGCAAATAACACAATAAGTTTGCATGAAAAAAAATTAGTAAAAATAATATTAAAAGGTAAAAAGTTAAAAATTAAATCAAATAATGCGAAAAATATATTTAATTTTATATACGAAGCATTATATATTACACAAGATTCTCAACAAAACGGTGCAAACAAAATAAATATCATAATATAACATAATGAAAGTGTTCTATGTTAAAAGCTAATTATTGAACATAAAAATAATGTATGCAAAAAACACACACACTTATGCGTGTATATGTATGTATATACATGCGCAAATATTTTAGCTAAGACAGAAAACAACAGTTTAGAACAATTGTGTATGTTGCATAAGCACCTACTTATATGCATATACACGCATATATAGATTAAAAACCAAAACCGCAAAAAAAAACAAACAACAATTAAATGTTATGCAAAGAAACACTAATGGGCAGTTGAATTGAAACCAACAAACCAAAAATTATAATGTACAAGTATGTTATCTAATCGAAACCCTGTTTAAATGAAACCGTAGTTTAGCGGTTATGAATTTTAGGTTTTAAAGGAAAACAATTAATGCTAAGCATGTCAGTAAAATGGTCTAATTCATAGCATTATATACAAATTTAATTAAACACAAAGCGGCATAAACACAGCTAAAAAGCGTGTGCGGCGTATGGAAACCCGTATATTCAAATTCTTATACAAGTTAAAAAAAAACATCAAAAATACAACAAAATAAATGATGTAAAATTTAACATTGAATTTAAAACCAAAGACTCAAAATAAAATCAACAACTACTTGCGTACACTTTAATTATATAATTTTACATGAATTTAACATGAATAAATCAAATAAAATACAAATAAAAAATAAGTACTGAAAACAGAACAAAAACATTACTTCGCACAAAAGCTGGTGGCGCAAATGTATTGCATATGGTATATACATTTTATGTTATTTCTCTATATATTTTTAATTTACATATATGTATATATATATATATATAATATATATATAAATATGTATGTATCTATTTGCACCGGTTTAGGTATGTTATAGCATCTAAGGCATTTTTAGCACCCCGCAATGAATTTGCAATGGTTCAGGGAATATGTTATGGTACACCTTTTAAAATTGTACATTTCATTTATATTTCTTTCCACCAAATTTAGTAACACTACACAATAGCACACAATAACTATTTCAATAAATTTGAATATTTCTATTTAATTGTTTTCTTTTTTTTTACTTGTAATTCTGAGTTTTACGGATTATGCTTATATAGAGTTATCACAAACGATTGAAAGCTTTCTAAGCGCTTGTTTATTGCAAAAAATAAAATGGATGAGCATAGTAAATTTAGTAATTCATTTTGAAAAACGGAAATAAATAATAAAAATGCTCCAAATGATATGAAAGAATATAAATAAAATAAGCAACATTTGTGTGCTAAAATTTAACATACACACGCAAGTCAGTCATTTATGTATATGCTAAAAGAATCACCCAAATATAATAAGAAAAAAATTAAGCTAACAAATAATTGCGTAGATTGAACATATAGCCACGCTGAATAGCAAACAAAAAAAAAACCATAAACAATAAACAGTACTGGTAAATTTGGTAAATTTAATACATATATACAAGTAAATAAATGTGGGTTGGGACAGTGAAAATTTATAAAAATTCAATAAAAATGTAATACTACAAATGAAATTCAATTGAAAAATGTTAAATAATTAGATTATTAGGTAGAAAAAATGTGTTGATCGAAACAATATAAATTAATAACATTGAAAGCTAAATGAGAAAATCGCAAACTAATGTCATTGCCGCTTTCTATGTTGTTTGACAATTATCTAAAAAAAAAAAACGTGAAAAAACTGAAACTTAAGAAAATTTGCGCGCCGAAATGTATGCCACGTGCTCAAACACAAAGCATTGCAAAAACACAAAAATATCGCACGAATATTTTTTACTACTGATTGCCTGTAAGTAATACGATTCCACATTTTCAGAATTTATAAAATTTCGAAATACTCTACATATTTCACTACTATCTTGTTTCAGATGAATTCAACATTGTAACTCAGATTTTGCGAAACACTTTATTAAGCATATTCAGTGAAAAAATAAGAAATTCAGTAAATTGATGTACTTCGAAATAGCATATTTGTTTGGGCATCAGAATTCACACACAATTTTAGCGAACAGTTTTACAAACTCCGCCCTGTTTCTATACGATAACATATCGCGTCAATATTATTAAATGCCTACAGAAATAAATTTATACAAAGGTACCTTACATTAGCGATAGGAACATATTTAACTGCGTCTATCGATACTCGGTGGTTACCTTAAATAACGGTGAAAATTGTAAAGACAGTTAGTATTACTTCTCGAAAATATTACAATGTTGCGTATAAGTTGCATAAGCGCGTACCTTATCGGTTATGTCAGAAAAAAAAAAATTAGAAGTGCCCAAAAGATATATGTATTGTATATGCTCGTGCTCTATTTGGGCATGAAACATTGTATTTGCAGTAATATTTCATTTTCAATATAATTACGTATTTAATTTTTTTATTTCTTTTTTTTTTTAACACAGTAATGCGCATTTGTGAAAAATTACAAACAAAATTTTTAGCAGAAACAAATCATTCACTCATACAAATAATTTATATGACATTTATATTTGTACTGCTCTGCAATGAAACTATAAAAAAAAAAATTGAAATTGGGCACAGAAAGTTACTGGCAAATCAGAATTTAAGTATATGTGAAAAAAATATAAAACTCTCAAATAACTAAACAAATCTTGCTGTTTACATAAATTCTGTTATTTATATGCATACATATTAATAACTAACTAAGTCTGAGTTCAGACGTGAAAACTTTTGTTGCTCGTCATCGGCAAATTCTGTTTTGTATTACGCATTGCATTCAGACGAGCAGCTCGAATCCGGAAAACTTGAGGCATACAATATTCTGCACCCCCTTTCATATAATACACTCAAATTCTTGTACGCTTCATTTAAGCGGTACATAAAAATATATTTCATTAGCTAATTTTTATCATTATATACCATTTTCAAAAATATGTTTATCATATTATGAAAATTTGTATACATATGTATTTGCATATTACGTACAGAGAATATATGATAAATTCAAAGTTCTAAACATATTGTAAATATTCATTTGAAACCGAGCACAATTGCAATCTTGGCCTGAATTTCAAAATGAAAAAGAATGTCAAATTGCATAGCAGTGAACTTACGAACAAGCATACAGAGCGTGTTGTCCGAGCCCTTGCAACTCGGTGCTATTTGTCTCTCCTCATCGCCCCACGTCTTCAAACTACGAGTCTCGGCAACAAGAGTCTCCTCGTATGAACCAGTTCTAACATATTACATACATATTTACTATAACTATAAGCACAATCATGTGCAAATAATTGTAAAAGTCATTTACTTTTCTATCACCAAAGCAGCATTATAAAATTTTCATGTACCTTTGCTAACTGAAACAAAGAAACAATTAAGAAATATATAGAAAACTCGAACTATCCACTACTATGAGTAAATACAATGCAACAAATTAAACTTAAAAACAATAAGGGCAATGTAGAAAAAAGTATAAATAAAGAACATATAACGTAGCAACGTAACTTAGCCAACTGAGAAAATATATAATAAAAAAAACGTAATAATAAATTTACACATACACAGATACAGACAAACATGTATTTAAAGCAACCAACTACACCGATACATTAAACGCGTATTCAATACGAGCAAAAACAAAAATAACAAACTGAAACATAATACAAAAACTAGGCAAATAAAATTTACGTAAATAATACAAAAACATGAAAAAAACATTTATTTAAAGCAAAGTAAACAGTATTCTATCTAAATGGGGCAATGCAACGTAAAACACTTAATTATTTTCACAAATATCGTAACATTTCGCAAAAAAACTTAATATAATTTTAAATTTTCTAATTTTAAATGTGTTTATTATAATAAAAATATTTTTTTTTCGTTGATTGGTGCTCAACTAAACCACAATATGTTTACTTTTTAAGAAATTCACCCAGTCATCCAACATTCTTCCGCTTTTGCTGTGTGAAACAATTTATTATTAATGTATATAATATTCAGTAACCTCGACACGACATACATACATACAAACTTGTATTTTAACACAATGAATTTTTGTATAACTTAGCTAATTTGCATTGCCCCAAAAAGCTTGATTATAGGAATACTTATTGAAGGCATACTTACACATTTATAAAACATATAGTAAAATTATTGTATGTGCAGTATGACAAGCAAAATATAAATATAATTATAAAGTTAATGTTAAATTAAAATAGTCGAAAGTCAACAGTTGGTACGTATGTAAAAAAACTTAAATGCAAAAAAACCATATGCAGAGAGACACGTAAGACAAACATAATAATTAACAAAAGCTGAATTATAACATGAATATTATGAAAATGACTACAAATAAAACATATAACAATAAAAATACATACATATGTACTTTGTGTATTCTTGTGAGGAAAAGGGGCGTTCTTAACTTAGGGGAAGAAGTTAATTATCGCTATTATTGCCATTACATCATCAAATTAAGATGCGCTTTAAAAGGCCATTGAAAATTTCACTCCTTTTCTTCCAGCAGTTTTTGTACGCCATACAAATGTAAAGACTTTTTGTTAACGAAATTATAAAAATATCAAAATTTTATAAATACACTAATCGTTATTTAAACCGAAACAGTGATGCACAGTTTTTTTTTTTTGCTCTAGCATAAATAAACATTTAGAAAAAAAAAACAAAGACGTTGCCTAATTATAGGCTAGTAGTAATATTATTACTCTGAATAAACATTGATTTTAAATAATAAAAATAATAAAATTATTAACGGTTAGCTTGATACGTCAAAATGTTCCATGCTTCCAAACTGTACGAAAATTGACCCTGCAAGTTAACTATCGGTTAAATCATACATTAATAGCCCGAGAGCGCTATCAGAGATTTCTTTAAAAGTTATATTGGTTTCAGAAGACCGAATGGACAAAACTAACCGAAACCCTTCTATATATGAGATCGCTCATTTTCTTTTATGGTTAATGATTTGCAACATGGTTTGACGAAAATTGTTTCAATGTGTGTTGTAGTTTCCGGCATCCTTCACTTACTAGGAATATTTTACGTTCCAAAGTTGTATCGCCTGAAACAAATTCCAATCAGCTGTTTAGGCGTACAGCTGTCAAAACAAGTACTATACGGTCATCAGACCATTATCAGTGTAATTGGTCAATTTTGACAATTGAGTAAGCAACATTTACAAAATAAATTGTTTTCGTCTTCATCAAAGGAATATTCGTTCATAAAAGCCGAAAAATAAATCAAAATGAAGAAAAAAGTGCTGCTCATGGGCAAAAGCGGCTCAGGCAAAACCAGCATGCGTTCCATTATATTTGCAAACTACATAGCTCGAGATACGACGCGTTTGGGTGCGACCAGTAAGTAATAATGAACAGATGCCAGCAAAAATTACAATAATTGACCATTAGTTTACAACTAAAAACATATGTTACAATCTTCTACTTAAAGTTGACGTTGAGCACTCTCATGTGCGCTTTCTGGGCAACCTGGTACTCAATTTATGGGATTGTGGCGGCCAGGAGGGCTTCATGCAGCAATACTTTGCATCACAGAGGGATAACATTTTCCGAAATGTTGAAGTCCTCATATATGTATTTGATGTAGAGAGTCGTAACTTGGAACTAGATGTTCACTACTATCAATCATGTTTGGAAGCATTGTTACAGGTAGGCAACTTGGATTTCCAAATAATCTCATTTGAAAAATATTGTTTTTTTGAAGAATTCACCGGAAGCAAAAATATTTTGTTTGATACATAAAATGGATTTAGTCGCTGAAGAACAACGAGAATCATTGTTCAAAGAGCGCGAAGAGGATCTTATTAAGCTATCCAAACCGGGAAATGTTACCTGCTTCCGTACCAGTATATGGGATGAAACATTATACAGGTAAAAATAAACGGTAATTCAGATCAAACTCAAATAACTTTAATATGTATACTATATTTATACATAGAGCTTGGTCCAGTATCGTTACCATGCTTATACCCAATGTGGCCGTACTGGAGAACTCTCTAACCCACTTCGCCAATGTTATTGAGGCCGATGAAGTGTTACTTTTCGAGAAGGCCACTTTCCTGGTTATATCACATTGTCAGAGCAAAAAGAACCGTGACTCGCATCGTTTTGAAAAAGTCTCCAATATAATAAAACAATTTAAATTAAGTTGTTCAAAATTGGGCGCCAAATTTCAATCGATGGAGGTACGTAACAGCGCCTTTGCTGCTTTCATAGATACCTTTACCAGCAATACATATGTGATGGTTGTCATGTCTGATCCAACAATACCTTCCGAAGCGACTTTGGTTAACATACGTAATGCGCGCAAATCTTTTGAAGAATTAGAGAACCCAAATAGCAACGCCATGAATCATCATCAATATCACTGATATAGGATGTAGGTGCACTGCACTGTTAAGGAGAGGATTTGAAATTGGGGCTAACAAGAAACATTGTTTGAAATTTAGATTTGTAAACATTTATAAGGAAGCCTGATTCGTATTGGAGCTTAAATTTAGTGTATAGAATTGGATAGAGTTGTACATAAAATAAATATGCGAAAGTTGTTGAAGAATATTAAAATGATTTGCTTTGAAAATAAATTATGCATAAGGTAAAATGTTTATACATACATACATATATAGAACTACATACAATATTTTCTTACATTGAAAACAGAATTTAAGCTCCAAGACTCATGACGGTGATTAAATAGTTCTTTTTAAAAACCATCAAAATTTTAGGAAAGCTCGGCTCATTTCGTTCTCTCGATTTTCAATACATAATTTTTTATAGTTATTAATTGTTGCTTATTGAAATTTAATAAAAATTTGAACGCTTTATTATATATATTTAAAGTTTACAGTACAGAAATGTCTTTATACATACATACATATATGCCACATATTTTTATAGTTACAATAATGGTGTGCAAAGCTATTACAATATGCTATCTTTACATTATTATAAGCGAATAATAAATCATTTTTACAACTATACGACTTATTATTATTATTATTTATTACTTAAAAATATATATTTGAAGAATATATATGTATTCTAGAGGTAATTTCTGATCAATTCTCAATTAAACGCAATTAATTTCATAATGCACTAACACTTACATACTTACATATACATACATACCCGCATTTATTATATATGATACGGTATAGAAAATTAAAAAAACTTGTAAATTCAAAAATTTGGCTAGTATTATTTGGTGCTGCATTTAAATGCAACTTATTCAGATTCCTATCACAGTCAACATTCATTTGTTGATAAATATATGTATTTTCGTACCCACCTACATGCATATTGGTATTATCTTAATATTACGGTCGTCATGAGTAATACCGACGCACTTCGTCTGTCAGCCGTCCAACTGTACTCTCATCGACCGGAACGAAACGTTTAGCACCACGACTGAAATAATAAATGTCGCCAGTGTAAATATCAAACCATAATGCGTGAATATGGAGATCATGCGATTCAAGTCGTTGTTTTAAGAAGCCATACGAAGCCACATTCGATAATTGCTGTAACGTATTGATCTGCGACAATTTATCTTCTATGGCAAATTTATTTTCCGAATCAATGTAAGCAACAAACCGACGTAAAGGTGTTTCAGAAGAGAATATCAAAGGACCTTTCATGCCTTCTTTTCTCCAGGTTTTGAAATGTTCAAGACTGCTGTTAGCGTGTGTCCACATCCAGGAACGTAGCGGCGACAGACGTCTATTTAACTGCACAAATTGGTTGAGGTAAATAGACAGTCACACATTAACAACAACTTCATGCCAATAACAACTTACTTGTGATGAGTATTCTTCATCCTGTAGTTTATATAATAGATTCATTGCCTTACAATCGCTATGACCGCACACAATAATGTGACGTATATCGTTGATGACACAGCCCAATTCTAGTGCTGCCGGTTCGCAGCTAAAGTATTCATCCTGAAAGTGTTGGGCATGCGGCACCACATTTCCAGCGTTACGCACTGTAATGCAAATATAATAAAATGATACAAAAGTAAATTAATGACATTGCAAAATACATTTATATGTATGTATAAAGAGCAATTATCGAAGGAGTGTAATGTATGTATGTAGTTGTACACACCTACAAACATATCGCCGACATGCGTATCTGTGTAGCGGGTTGGGATCATACGACTGTCCATGCAAGTGAAGAAAACGGCCTTGGGCTATGTTTGAACCACGCGATATGAAAATAAAATAATTTAAAGTAAAATGTAGTTATATTACATGCTTACACAATTAAATATATCTGTAACTATATTAATGTGCAGGCATATGGTACATTTATAGAAATTACTTCGTTAATAATCTATATGTACATACATATTTAATTATTTTAAAATTATTAAAAATGCACTTAAAAATTATGTGTGTTAAAATTTAAATGAAGTCTTACTGAATACGAATTTCTTCGTTTGTACACTCTTCTAATGCTATAATGCGACAAATTTATTACTTAGGCTGGCAAGTGAACAGTGTATAATTGCATCTTACGATGTCATTTTTAAATTATTACTTACATTACTCAAAGGAAAAAACATAAAATAACTAACTTTAACCGTCATTATTTGAAAGTCAACATTTTCCCCGAATATGTAATTATTTAGTGCTGATTTGAGCTTGAAAGTTTTAAACCTCGCAATATCAAAAAGATTTTAACATAAATTCGTAGTCTTAGGAAGATTACTCAACACATTATTTTGAGAACTTTGTATAAAAATTGAAAATGTTTAAAGGCTCAGGTACTCCCTACATATGTACATATGGAAATATATGTATATATATCCGACCTTTAATTAATTAGGTGAGCAGAAAATATTTAAAGCCATAAATATTTTAATACAACGTCTAACGTTTTTATCATATTATTATTTAGTATTAATTTACGCATGTATTTATGCTATGGTATCTAGTCAGATAATAAATTTAATGCGGATATGGTGTTATATAGCTTAATATAGGAACATTGCCAGTCGGTAAATGTCTCAAACAGCTATGTACGTATATGTTTATGCTTAGCGAAGATATCAAAAATAAGTGCTTATAAATGTTTTCGCGCTAAATTTCCTTATACTTGTATCAGTGTTTTTTCATTTCTTGAATTTTTTTATTACTTTTTAGTCTATCGGGCTGCGTGTTGAAGATGAACGCATTCAGAAAATTTATTTCTATTTGTTGTCAAATATTGTTGTTCCCAAAAACTTACTGGAGATGATACATTTTAAACCAAAATTAATGTATGTAAATATTGTCAAATAAAACCACGAGTAAATGCATAAATGTATGTGAATATACATAAGTACACATACAACCAATATATTTGTTTAAATAGGAGTAGTTATTTCGCGAAAAGGTGCAATTTTGGTCTTCATATGTGTTTCTAATTAGGAATAATTGAGAACTGGTCACACAGTTTCAGACTTTTCGAAACAGTATAATTAGGTAGGTAGGTAGGTATGTAGAGTAGCTATCTGACTACGCACCTAGCCCTTTAGGAGGTGTGAAACCAGCGGGACTCAGATCCCCTCTCTCTATTGTCTCCTCTCTGAACCAACCCATGCGTCTGAGGAAGGTCATCAGAAGAGTATAAGTACTTACTATAAATTAACTTAAAACTATGGATATGTTTCGAGCAATTTGCCGTTTAATTACTTCTTTGAGGCATGCATATAATATTGAAACCTCAATCAGCCTCAAGTTGGTCAAAACTCACGTCTAATTAAATAACTACAAAATAATTAAAAGATTGAAAATAATTTCCTAGGAAATTTTAATTTTTCTTACAACATAATTAAACCGATTACTTATTTACTTATTTTAAATCACAATGGGCCTCCTAAGGATCTAGGTGTATCAAAATACAGCCACTCTACCTATCTATTGTACATACCTACTTAACTCTTAAAATAAATGAAGTGAAATAAAGTATCTCTTCTTTTCAACTTAATGATAAGACTTGTATACATAAGTACATATGCATATATATACATACGTATAAACATAAGCAATATGCTAAGCATTGATAACATAAAACGGTCAAAACTTTCCAAAACGTACTTACATATTATATATAAACACATCAAAAAAAATAATAATAATAATTTCTTATTTGATAGTGTTAGGTTCGACAAATTATTGTTCATTTTTATGATACTCTAATTTTATTAACCATTCAAATCAGAACGGAAAATTTGCAAAAAGATTATAATAAAAAAATATGCTAGCATCTCGTTTTAGGTACATACATACAAGCATATGTAACATGTTTGGTTTTGTAGGTGTCATGTTGACTTCACATGTGAAATAGTTTTATTTATTAATAAATTTATAGCTACACATAAATTATTGCACACATTAATATAATTAATTTGTATGTATGTAAATATTACACTTCACGTGCGGTGTATACACATGTATATATGTCTGAGCACTCGTATGTCTATACCAATGAACTCATCTATGCTAGGTACGTATGTTTGTACATACCTCAGGATGATCACGAACTTTTTGGAATTCCTTTACCATCTGTTCGCGTGTCGTGTTCCGATAACGCATAACACCACGCAATATACGCTCCATATTCAGACTATTTGATTCGCCCTTTTCACCTTTTCACTAGCTTCAACACAAATGTCTTTCAACACAGGTAATGGATAAAAACATAAATGCACTCATGCATATGTACATACAATGTGGGTATATATGTAGAAATAGTTGCTGTTTTCGGCTTGTACTTGATAGTTATTTTATCGCTAAGTTTATTTCGGTGCTAATACGCCTTGTAATATAGGTGTAGCAAAAAAGTTTGAATTCTTTATCAAAAATTAATGCACTCGAACCTTTTGCGACACTTTCATAAAGCTGACTGAACTGTTGGACGTGTGGTCACAATTCTCGGGCCTCGCCGGACGCTCATTCATCCAACTTGTGCATGTACATATTTATTTGGTTTTGTTGTGTTTTCCAATTTCTGCACTTGGCTGTTCGTTCTAAATGTTAAAAATTTTCACTCGCTAGACGTCTTTCTAGCTTTTTATTTACTTCCATTTTTCGTTTAGTAACGTCTGGAGAACAAGTTTTGCGTTGAAAGCTTAATTCTTTCATTTCATTGCTGTCTAGCTACTGTGAGAGTGATAGCATGTTTTGTTCGCTATTACATTCCGGGGCCAGTCCACATTAGTCTTGAGCAGCTGTTCGCTGAAAGTTTATTCGTTGCGCATTTAGCGGCAAACTTGTTCTCCTACAGACACAACCACTGAGTTTAAATACTCGTTACCGATTCTAAACTAAACACTCTTATACGCATGTATGTGTTTATCTACGAGTGCAAAAGCTACACATCAATACCGTAAGACCGTGAGAGCACTCTTTAACATACTCTAACTTAGCTCTGGTCAGATGTTTAAGAAAGCTTTTTATGCCATGCATAGCACAACAATTATGGGTATAATGTGAAATTCGCAAATCCGTCAAAAAACATTGTATTCGAAATATGATTCAATATTGTATATTAGTACACATATAGAAAAACAAAGTTCTTTACAAAGAAAAGCTTTAGCGTTTTGTCAAGATTTTCAAAAATAGAGTTTAAAAAAAAATATATACATATATGTATATATTAGTCTCAAGCTAGCAATGTCAATTTGGGCAAATCCTAACCAATTTAGAAAATGGACGTGGATCACATTTTGTTTCCTAGGTTAAGACAACAGATTTTCTGATTAATTTAATAATAATGCAAGGGAAATTTTTTTTGTTTCGTATTATCCGTAAAGAAAGTGTAGATTTTCACAAACTATACGTTAAATACAACTAAACGAAATAAGTTGTAATTTCGATGTAACAGCTAATAGCGAAAATGAAAATATAGAAATTATTATATCCGATTCAACAACCAAATTGGAAAGCAAGCATCGACATTATACTTTTGATATAAATTACAAATATCCCTAGTAATCTCATAAATTTGATTTGGTGACCGAAATCTTAATAACGAATTCGAATAAAAATTCTGAAAATTATAATTTTTTATAAAATTTCAGCAAAGAAGCATACATTTTTAAAATATTCTGTACCACGTTTGAGCTGCCAAAGCCGTTTAACAAATCCGAAATTAATATTTAACACCGTTCAATGTTATTACTGTCTGCTATAACCTCTTTTCAATCAAATAGAACAAAACAAAATTTAACTAATTAATTTAAAAAAATATTATTCTAAGGAAGTTCTGTTCAAAATTTATATAAATATTACGATTACTTTCCATTTTGCTTTCGAGCTAAGGTTAGATGGCAATTTATTAAATGTAGAATTAACCAATACATAACCAGTTCTATATCATCATTTTAATATTTCAATAAATTTGCAAATTCGAAAAAGTATAGTATGTCTTAGTTCATACATTCAATTTATTTATTTCTTTCTTTCTCTCTGCAATTTGTATTTGTTCAACATTTCTACGCTAATTACAAATTAAAATTGTTTTACTTGTGTATGCTTCAGCTTAAATGATGATGTTGATTATGATAATGACGTCCATCTCCTTAACTTTTCTCCTTGGTAGCTAACGCACTTATCCGCTCGTCCATCGTTTCCACACCAACGTAACTTACAGTGCACTTTTGATTCGTTTTTGTAATTTTACAATGCCTAAATGTCAATTTATGTTTGTTTCTTTTAATAATTTTGTTAACATTTACCCAATAAATGATCTTTTTTTCTTTTATCAGTTGCTTCTCTTTTTTTTCAATAATACTAAGCGTTTTAATAATGTTTATGTGTCAGCTGTTGCACATATAAGCACACATTCATACATTATATCTGTTCACTTTAGGCATTGCCTTATTCATTTTAAGATCAACGACTTGTTTTATGCAATCTGTTATTTTTCTTCGCCTCAATGGAACACGTTTAATGTATTTTCTTTATATTTTTACGTATGAATTGTTTTTTCTTGTAATCTGTTTGGAGATCAGCTGCCGCGGCAAGCAAACGACGATATTGTGTTTCTTTTGTAATTTATTCTGATTTTTTTTTGTTGTTTACAGTTTTAATGTTACTGCAATTTACTCGATTAAATTTAACACAATTAACATTTTGCTATGTTTTGATATTATAATGTTTGCCTTGCCATAAATGTGCCCTTTATGATCACTTTTGCGTGAATTTGTCATACGTCAATAGCTTTATTGTTGTTGTGGGTGTTGTTCAAATTATTGACTAATGCGAAACGTTAATGTTCCATTAGTGTAAGGGCAGCTAAAATGGGGAGAAAGGAAAATCACTAGTTAGCAAAATACGTGCTTGGAATGAATAATACACGCTCCAGAGGAAATACTTACGTGAAGGTGGGCGACATGATGCATTTTCATTAGGTTGAAAGTTCAAAAAATCCCATATGAGAATGGTGTCATCATGCGAACTGCTGACAATCTGGAATTCATCGAATTGCAAGCGGAAAACACGGCCTGTGTGCTCCTGAAAACAAAACAAAAAATTGTATGAAATACATCAGGGTTGCGAATTTTTTAATTAAAAAATTTTACATTAAAAATTAAATTTTCATTTCTTTATCCCAGATATCTTGCGATTAAAAGTTAGATATTTAATAATATTCGATTTTTAATCACTATATTTATTAGTATATAATATAATCTAACATTATAAACATTTTTATAGATTAATGATAAAAATAAATATATTATATTCATCTCTCTATTTATATGAAGTTGGTCTTTTAATTCTCGGAAATGTCTATATTGGAATTTTAAATGATCTAGTTAACTTATTAATTTAATTTTTAGATTACTTTTTTTATTTAAGTATTTTGAATTAAATATTGCAAATTTTATTTTTCAATATGAATGAAGTACGCAAACGCGAAAAAATTTTAATTCTAAACCAATTTCTTTTTTTTTAATTCTTAATTATATGCTTGGAAATAATATTTGTCCTTTTTACTTTCCAAGCTGGTAATTTTATTTATTTTTAATTTTTAATCCGGATTGTAAGATTAAATATTTTTTTTTAATCCCGTATTTGGAATTAAAATTTTTTGTTTATTTTTAAATCCCGTATTGGGATTTAAAAAAATAATTCAAATGTTAATTCAATTATTTTTTAATGCATCATTTGAATACGTTAGACTAAAGGATATTTAGAAAAGGCAGTACATTCTACTATTACAAAACGTAATGGGTTTTAATTTTTCAATAAATATGAACAATTTGTTACCAGGCAATGAAGTACTCAGCTAATTTCCTTGCTTATTCTATAATTTTCATATTGTAATCTATCAACAGAACGTGTTTATCTAACTAGGATATTTACACTTACCACCAAGGTATTCAAGCAAAGTGTGTTTGCCTGTGCGCGCGGATCTAATGCCGCAACCAAGTCCCAAACTTTGATTTTGCCATCATAGGCGCCGCTGACAATACGTTTCGAATCGAAGCGAATGCAACGCACCAGTTCATCATGGCCCTCCAACACACGCAAACAAGCACCACATTCAATATCCCAAAGTCTGGAACAAAACATAAATTTAAGTAAACTGACAAATTCGGAAAAGTATAACATTAGACTTCTTACACACCTGATTGAGTTATCAGAACTGCCACTGACCACTAAGCGATCCCTATATTGCAGACACGCGATGCCGCGCTTATGTCCATTCAATGTGCGCACAAATTCACAGCTTGATGTTGACCACACTTTAATGGTGCGATCACCGCTGGCCGATACAATGTACTTCTCATCGAAATCCACCACATTAACGGCGGCGCGATGACCGACCAATACACGTCGCAAGGTGATTTCGCTGGGCGAGGTCATATCCCACACAGCAATCGAACGATCCTTCGAGCAGGTTACCATCATGCCATTATTGAAACGTAAATGAAGCACAGCTTCACAATGATGAATCAGCGTGTTAACCATTTCACCGGTGTTGACATCCCAAACTCGTACCGTCGAATCTGACGAACCACTAATGATGACTTTATCGTCATATTGAAGACACAAAACTGAACCGGTGTGACCAGTCAAAGTCTACATTGAAGTATGTAAATAATTATATAAAAATTTAAATAATTTGATATAACAATTTAGTAGCTACCTTAACACACTGCAAGTCCGTGCGGTCCCATATTTTAATGGTATTATCACGCAGACCAGAAACAATCTTCTGATCGTCATACTGCAGACAATAAACACCCTTTGAATTCTCAGAACGGCAATTAATGCGACGTAACATATGACGACCGCTACGCCAATTGTTCTCTATGCTCTCGATATCCTATGTGATAGAATGAAAAGAAAAAAAAAACAATAACAAAGTGTTATATAGCAGAAAAGAGTAAACACACCTTCATTATAGTGGGATATAGTTCGCGATAGAAAGAGTGTGGTCTGTGAGTAGTGCCAGGACGCGGCTTGAAGAGATATTGCATCCAACCTCGACGCTCTGCCAAGCCACGCCATAAGGAATCGGTGCGTGCTTTACGCTCGATCAGCTTCTTCCAGAGCATACCCTCGGAGATAACACGCAGCCATTCCTTACATACCAATTCGGCGGACTTGAGCGAATCTGCATCCAAATAGGTGAGTATGTTTTCGGCAATGTGATCGAGGCCTTTTTCTACAATTAACAAAGTAAAAAAATCGACATTTTAATTTAATTTTAAATATAGCAATAAGGATCAAAAGAATTAATAATTTTTAAATATGAGATGCCAACAAAAAGTAATATATGGCATTATCTTCATTCGCCTAATTTCAGTGTCAACGATGATTTCCAGTCTCATCGTATTTACACACGCACAATATATATTACAAAGCTAGTAAGTAATGAAAATTACTATTATGCACTATAAACATCAAAGGCAATAGGTGACAATATGTAGTGGCAAATACTGCATATGTAGTATAGACTTGTTTGTATGTATGTCTATATATCTTTCTAGATACTCAGCCGTATATGTGAAACACATTAAACTACAATTATACATATTGTGAAGAATATCTGCATGTGGAGTAACATTTCACCAATTTCGCACATACACATACAAATCTACATACAGCTAGGCATTCAGAGAGTGAACCGAAAACAGTGAATAACCGATTAAACAAGAAACTAAAAAGTAGACTTGACGCACCGTGCCGTCAGTCACATCACGTTTAACCCAATTCCATCTTTACACTTCGCTGTGCACTTTTTACTTTGCTAACATTCAGTTCATTAAATACGAATGGGATGTGTAAGTAAATCATACAAAGCTGAGATGTTTATACTCGTATAGTTGTAACAATAGATATGTATATGCACACACGAAGTAAAATGGATATATTGCTATTTATTTATGGACCTATATATAAAATAATATGTGCGTAACTCTATACACGAAAGTAAGTTAAGCAGTATATATCTATAATTATCATTATTAACTGACTTTGGAGAGTATCGAAGCGCACAACCAACTGGCATAAATCACATAAACTGGTA